CCGCTGCCACTTGTAAAGAAGGAAAGGGCTTGTGCGGGGCATGTTTCCTGACCGTTTGCGTGTGTGCCTCCACGCAGGCGTGCACCAGAGAAGATGCAGAGCCCGGTCCGCTCAGGAGTCGAGCTTCCGGAGGGCCAGAAATGCACTCGTGGCAGTTGCTCCCACAGACCATGCTTCAAGCATGCCCTTCCCTGCAGAACTGAAGGGATGCCATCTTACTTTTCACCACAGGTGCAAAGCCTCTTGGGATGCCACTCTCTATTTCTGTCGAAGGCTCGCAGGAATACACCTACGTGAGACGTAGACTGGTTTACTGAGGCGCAGCAGAATCTTGCAGCAAAACGTGCCATGTGGGCTCGAGCCAGGCGGCTTTTTCCTTGCCTTTTCTGAGAGGTTCCACTCTGCCCCCTTTTACCCTGGTTTTCCTTTCCCTGCACAGACACAATCCTTCTTGTGATTTTGTGGGGTGGCCAGTGCCACTGCAGGGGTTTTGTTTTTGTTATTTCCTGAAGTCGTCTCTATTTTTGCAAGCCTTGGGTTTCCCCGGCCTGCCAATGCCCTACTTTTTCTGCATGGCTGCGGCCTTCTTAGCTGTGCAAGCATAGCTTACTCTGCGGAATTGGGAAATAATAGGAATCAATCCCTCCCCTTGGAGAATTGAGTTCAATGGAAAGGGATTGGGGTTTCCTTTGAAAGAATTTGCCTTTCAAAACTGAAATCCCCAAGATTTCTGCCCCTGAGCAACAGGGCCTTCTCAGTGGTGTCTCCCAGTCTGTGGAACTCCTGGCCAAGAAGGCTTCTTTGGCTCTCTCTGTGCTATTCTTCCACTCGCAGGTGAATATGTTTACTCAAAAAGGCTTTTCGTGTGTAAGCCAGTCTGTTGGGTTGGGTGTATTTATCATGTTTTATTATATTTGCATCATCATCATCATCATCAATCATAATTATGATTTAATTCCTATGATTGCTAGCCGCTCTGCATGCTGTTTCCTCAGCAGAAAGCTTTGGAGCACATCAAATTGAACAGATAAGCATAAGATTCTTGAGGGGGAGAGGGAGGGTCGTTAAACTGCCATCCAACTGATATAAAACTTTGCGATACATTTATGCCCCCATCTCCCCCGACAAGGCCCCATCCGCATCTCCCCCAGTCGTAAATATTTGGGGAGGGGGTTTTCGTGCTCCTGCAAGGAATAAACAGAAAATTCCTCAACCCCTTCTAAATTTAGATAAAGTTGAGATGTTTTCTGGAACACATCTCTAAAACGAAAGGAATCAGGAATGTGTTGGAGACAAATGTGGCTTATACATAAAAACCCAAGTGCTCCGTGGTAGATGAAATGCCCGTGCCATGAGACTCGTGCAAAGGAACGATGGCGAGGCGAAGGCTCTGCTCTTATTGCAGCCATTTATACACAAAGATACGGGTTAACTGCAAAAACCATCTGCACAGTGCGAGCCGTTGTTATTTCTGAAAGCTGCTCCTAATCTTAACTTGGATTAAAATGAAGCAAAGCAATTCTCTCCCATATTTCTCTGTTTTATGACCCCTGTAATGAAATCCAGACTGTTTCTTTGCACCCATTTATGGGGAAAGTCTCTCTAACTTGTGGGTAATGGAAGACATATTTGTCTGCATGCATAAACAGGTCGGAATTTTCCACCCTGAGTCCTTGAGCAGTTCAGTTGGCCTGGAGTGGTTGGGAGGAAATGCTTTTGTGCCCAGCAAAGAGGGCTTAGTTCACCTCTTGCCCCTTACCAAGTCCTCCTTCTCTGGAACTTTTCCCCCTTGCTGTGAATGAAATTTGGTTTAACATGCACACTTTTTGCCAGGAATTCATCTGATCATTGAACAGTATTTTCATGCATCTATGCAGATTTCAATGCACTTTCCTGCAGTGCACATATTTCTCTGAGCATGTTTTGCCCAGTGAACCGGACAGCAAAATTTGGAAAAGTGCAAGCTTGGAATGATAACTGAGCCTTGCATTCCTCTGCAGCCTGTGTTCCAGGGGCAGGAAGACCAAAGGCATCTAAGTGAGGAGAGAACCTTCTGCATTTGCCTTTGAGGTTTTCAGGAACTAAGTCTTAGGAGAAACATTTCCTCCTTTTGCAATGAGAGGAAAACGCTCGCCAGCCAGGAAGGCCTCGTGTGACTGATGCTCAGGACAATTTGAGAGGGACTAGCGGAAGTAGGTTGGCCATCTAAGAAACTTTGAGGGCCAGCGTCAGGGCTTGGGCACGCCAGACTTCCCTGTGTTAATGGACTTTCTGCCAGTGTCTGTCTATCTATCTATCAATCCTCTTTCTATTTACTGAAAAACACAAACATAAGAATGAAAAGATATGTCTCAGTTGTTGTCTTAAGAATGCATGGCTTTACCAGGTTAGGGTTTTCTCTCAGCAGCTTCCTCATTTTAAGCCTAATGATGCTTGGTTCAGTTCAATGTCTCCATGCTAATTAAAGCATTCAGGTGCTTTCTGGGTTTATGGGAATACCCCCTTAATGTGATGCAGAGGGCTTCATTCATTCCTGATGGCTGAAGGAAAGACTGGCACTTTGAAAAGCTGGTAATGCTTCCTTTGCATTCAGAGACATCTTTGGAAGGTGGTTCTGTTTCTAAGTCTACCCCTTTGCTCTGCCCTATTTCCCCTCCACTGAGGTGTCAAAATGGTGCTACTGGTGGTTACGGTCAGTTTGGCCAGGGCTCAGCTGGCCAGGTCAAAGCGCATCATGGTGCCAAGGGGAGCTGAGTCCTTTACTCGACCTGAGCTACTGAACAACGGCTCTTTGCAAGGATCTCACATGCAAGATAAATCTCTCCCCTCCCCAACTAGGGGATGACCTTCCATGGATCCACTTGGGCTCTCTCTTCATTCCTGGATCCACGTTCCTTGTGCTTCGAAGACCTCCTTTACATCGCTGCTCGTAAACCTCCCATTTCCCTTCATTGGGATCTTTTTCTGTAAACTGGACTTAGACTGGAAGCCCCCCTTGAATAGAGGATACCTAGAGGACTCGCCTTTGTAAAGTAGGACACCTGACTACCCTACAGTAAACCTCACTGACCGCAGAGGAGCTCAATTCTCAAAAGAGCTGCATAGGTTTCTACTGTCGGTCTAACGCATGAAGTGTGCATTCCTCTCCTGGCCTCTTCCATTGTTCTTCCCCTGATTGATTTTAGATTGCAAGCCCTTTGAGGCAGGGGCCTGTCTTGCACTCCGTGAAGTGCAGGGTGTGAGATGCTGGTCACGTCACTTTAACCACAGGAGAACTACTTCACTGCATCCGTTAACTCTACTCCTTTCCGCCTTTGCATCTCCACGCAAGAAACGGATCTAACGCAGGCACTATATGTTGCAGGAGAAAGCTCCGGAAACAGGTACTGAGGTCCTTTGCTACACCACCGAGCAGCTGAAACGAAGGGCTGGAGCCAGCATTTACTCCTTGGGAACAACTTGGGAACACTGGAGAGCCAGTGTGGTGTAGTGGTTAAGAACATGGGGCTGGGACTCAGAGGATCTGGGTTCTGGTCCCCACTCAGCCATGGAGCCACCCGGGTGACTTTAGGCCAGTCACAGACTCTCAGCCCAACCTACCTCACAGGGTTGTTGCTGTGGGGATAAGATGGAGGAGGAGAATGATGTAAGCTGCCTTGAGTCCTTTGTAGGAAAAAGGCAGGATATAAATCACGATATAAATAAATAAAATAAATAAACTTGCTTAAAGTCTAGGTCTGCATCAAATAGAGGGAGTACATAACTCCCTTGTCATGACAGCTTTGATGGAAACCCGTCTATTTCTGAGCACAGTGCTGGTTAGGACCCATAAAGCCCCACGTGGCTTGGGACCAGATCCCCAAAAGACCACCCGCTCCCCTGCAAGCTCGCCTGGCTTTTGGATCCGCAGCCCTCCTCCAACCCGGCTGGCATCAGAAACCCGTTTGAGGGGCTCCTTGTGGTGGCTGCCCCTGGCTGAGAGACGCGCCCACTTGGCAATTTGCAGGGGCAGCCAAAGACCGTTTTTCAGGCCTTCGACGTGGAAGGTGGTCTGTTGCTGAGGGAGCTACTTCTCTCTCTGAGTGGGTGCTGTTGGTGGCTCGGAGCACGGCGTTTCGAAACGTGCTTTTCATTTCCTTTGCTTTTACGCTGCGCTTTAATAAACATGGTGTTTATGTCCTTCACGTCGCACGGTGAGCCGCCCAAGCCCCATTCTTTGGTGCAGCAGAGGATTATAATTAGGAAGATGGGAGACAGAGCAGCCCTTCCATCTCGCTTCAAGAGGCCTGCCAGTTCCCGGAGGCACGGCGCTGGAGTCCACGCCTGTGTGAAATATGAAGCTGGCTTTGATGGCCTGTCAGCAGGACTTTTCCTTGGGGCGGGGGGGATCTAAATTGCATCAGATCTGTAGGGGGCTTAAACATCCCAAGGTTTAAAAACAAGGGAGAAAAAACAAGTCCCGTCTTGGAAAAACCTCCTGCCCCCACTTGCCCGGCCAATTTCTTGGAGATCTTTTGTATATATATTTCCACTTCCCCACTTATAGCAGCTGTCATCTGATCCCTCAGTTCTCTGTAGCTCTGAAAGGGCCTCTCTCTCTCTCTCTCTCTCTCTCTCTAGGAGTGCCAGATGTTGAAACAAAGGTCTAAAAATAATCTTTCCATCTATCTTTCCAGAGTGGGGGACGGGGCACAACCTCGGAGCAGCTGGGAGTGCAAAGAACCTGACCCGGCTCGGAGCCGGAAACCTCTCCGATGCCAGCGGCGCTCGCTGGTTCCAGATCCAGAGCTGCTCTTGCGGGGAGTGAGCCGGTGCTGCGGGTGGGGGCAGGAGGAGCAATACTTCTGAACCAAACAACCCACCTCCTCTTCTCCCTTCCCTTCCACTGAAGGCTAAGTTTGCTTTCCGGCACAGCTGGATTTCGTTTGGCATTTCTCAGCTTCATTATTTATGTTGCTCTTGCGGAGCAAGAGGAGACAGGAGTCGACAGGAGTTTAGGAATGGGGTGCAAACCGCATTTCAGCAGGACGTTCCTGGCAGCAGCCACATGCTTCCTGCTGCTTCTCTGCCCGCCGACACGCGGCACACGGAAGCGCTGGAGACGAGCGCCTCACCTGAAGCTGACGGAGAAGCACGATGTAAGTTGGTCTGGTTTTGCGGGTGGAAAACGAGACCGTGAGAGAGATGCGCAGAAATTGTAGACTTTCCAGCTTGGGCGGGGATCTGGGAGGTCATTCGGTCCAGCTGCATGCTCTGAACTTCTGAACCCCTCCAGACAGTTTGGACTGCAATTCCCACTATCCTTCACTCTTCCTCCTGCTGGTTATGAATGGAGTTTGGAGTTCTCACCATCAGGAAGGCACCAGGGTAGGGTGACTGCCTTGTGGAGAGCAAAACCCAGTCGGGAGGGGTCCATCAGGGTTTTGTTTGCAAGGAAAGCAAAGCCCAGTTTAACTAGGGAGCAGGTAGGATCTTTGCAAGGGAAACCCTAAAAACCCACATTTCCAATTCTACAGTTGCTTTTGCAAAATAGAGGCCAGTCTCTGAGTAGTTAAAGTCCTTGACCAACTTTTTAGTTACATAAATGATGAACAAAAACTCATATTTGTCACAAGCGTAGTCTGAAATGGGGTTTCCTCCCTGGGCTCACTCTGTATGTCCCTTTCCACGCGAAAGCCAGCAAGCAGCAGGGAAAACATTGCAAGGCAAGCAGTGCCTTGTTGACCCCACATTGAAGGAAGGGGAAGGGTCCCCAGTCAGATGGGCTTTGCTCTAAGCAGGCCAGAGTGCCTCTGAGCCTGTGCAGAGGATATCTTTTTAATCTCTCAAGTATTCAGGTCTGGGGACAAGAAACCCAGTTGGTGTGTCCCTTTCGATGGAGCTCAGTGAAAGTTTGGGGACTGACTTTTGAGCAGATGAGCATGGTGCAGATCTCCTTCCTCTGCATGGACATTTTATAGTTTACTTTTAAATGAACTGAGTGTTTAGGAAGCTGCTGGTGCATTGTTACCTGGCTTGCTGAACTGGAAATCTTTATATTAAGCCCGGATGCTTAGTGCAATTTTTGTGACTGATCCTTGAGTTGAACTAGATTTTACTTAGGAATTGTGCGTTTGCTCTTGTGCTTCACCAGTCCACTGCTGTGCTTCCCAGGGGTATCTTGTTAATTCAACGTGTCAACTCCAGAGAGAGGGAGTTTTCCCCAGCATCCCTTCAAATAAAGGGCTGCCCTCTGCAAAGCAGGCCACATGGGGTAATGGGTGGAGGTATATTCCCAAGAGAGGAAATCAACTGCCACGTCGGTGGATGTTGAAAGGGTCCGAAGTATTGTTTGAGTCTGAGGCTGCGAGGCGTTTATTACCGTTTCCTTGAAAACCCATTTCCCAGCATTGTTAACAGAAGCAATCTAGGATGAGAATGAGAAGAGGAGAATTTCTTGTAAAAGGAGGAGATTTTAGGGTGACTTATGCAAAGACAGCTTTGGGCAGAGGAAGCCTCTGTGTGCCCCTTACCTGACACTTCCTGAAAGATTTGCTTCCAGATCAAAGCCTTGCAAATGTGGGAGACTATAATGCCCATCATCCTCTCCAACAATAATCAGGCACACACATCATCCACCCCATCTGATGCACTGGATTCTGGCATTATTGTGCTTCCCCGGTGCCAGTAGGGTCAGAGGCAAGTTAGTGATGGCTCATTAAAGGCCGGAGTTGTTCATTCAGAGCCTGAAAGTTTGGGGAGGACCTCTGTCCCCCCAGCCTGCTGGCCAGGAGCACCTGCAGACAGAAAGGTCCAGGGGCTGAGATTGTCGCTGGGGCAGTTGATTCCCCTGGATGATGTGGTTTTGACCCCCTGTGCTTTCTCACCAATGGTCCCCCCCAATGCCCTCCCCTTCGCTGCCCATATATTGCTTTTTACAAGGAGGGGTGTCCTTAGGAGACACAGTCCTTTACAGATACGCAGACAGAAAGCAAGCATTGGAAGACAGCTTATGCACAGTTATGCATCCTGTCAGGGGACCCCAGGAAAGCCAGCGTAGGACCCTGGGAAGCCAGATTTGGTTCACTGGCCTGAGGTCCTGCACCCCTGTTTTGGACTAAGTCCCCCAAGTCCACCTCTCCACCCATCCTGGCCATGCCAAACCTTGTTGCTTGCTTCTTCACATCCTGAACTTCTTTCAGCTCATCCCCACTTGTCAAACAGAAACCTGGTGTTCCGTCCAACTCAGTAGCACCTGGGCAAGGCCTTCCTCAAAGTAACAGCATGTTCTGCAGCTGCTGTGATCAGAGAGCATGTAACCCGGAGGGACCAGCTCGGGGCCTATTTGGCATGCAGAATCTCAACGTTAATAAAGCCACTCGCAAGCCCTGCCACTCCTCAGGGACCAAATGACACACACATACCTGCGGAGACAGGTTTCTATTTTTATCCTGGCTGGCACCCAATGCAAACACTGCCAGTTCATTTATGAGCCCGAAATCCTCATGGTTCTACTCTGACAGCCTTCCCCACCTGGGGACGATGGGAATGCTAGTCCAGCACATCTGGTGGGCACTAGTTAAGGAAAGGTGTGCAACAGAAGCTTCTGAAGGATACCGGAGAGGCCCACAGGTGTCCTTGTCTCTTAGCACTGTGCTTTTACATAGATTGTACTGAGGAATCTGGCACTTTCTGGGGGGCTGCTTCTGCAAACTTAAAGAAAAGCTGGTCTTTTCCCAGCTTTGCTATCCTGAGACCCTCGGTATTGGACAGGATTTAAATGTTTTAAATCAATAAAAATGAAGGAATGAATGAATCTGCTTCATCACAGCCAGGCACAATCGAGGGTGAGGACCAACTTCAGCCTTCCCGGCATCCAGGGAATCTTTGCTTTCTTCCATACACCAACCATTTGGTGGAGTCCCAGTTTGGATGAAGCCTTTTCCCCATTTTAAAAGAATCAAATGCCTCTCCTCAAACCTTTTAGACTAGGGGAAAGGCAATAAGCGTCCAACTTCATTATGCTGGCATTCTTGGAATTTTGGCCTTCCCCTTTCGCCGTTGGCTCAGCCCATTACCAGAAGGAGTCTCCCAAGAGCTTTGCTGAAACGGAACGTGGACCTCGGGCTGAAAAGGATTTAAGAGCCCCACTTTGATGTATTCCTCGTTGTCTCTGATGCTGCAACGAAATGCCACCGGGGAACAGTGAGGGGCAGGGAGAAACCCACAAGCTTGCGTGCAGGATTAGAGAAGGCTCACTACTACAGAAATGTTTCAATATGCCAGGAAACTGGGAACTGGGGGTGGGAGGGGGGGGAGAGGACACATCCAAGTAATGTCTGGTGCCAGAATGTACTGTAATGTGCAAGCAAGCCAACACGATTGTTTGGTTTCTTAAGATGTGATGCTATGCGGACTGGGAGAGAAAAACATCTTGCAACTCCCAGAATGGAATTTTCTCTCTAAACACATGTAGTACTGCATCTTAAGAAGCTGCGCTAGACTTTTTTCCTGTGTAAACCTGTACAGAATTGGGAGTTCATTCTGAAAAGACGTGTTTAGGGTTACACACCTTCCAATAGGTGAAAATAGGGACAGGATTATTGTGCGTCTATCGTCCTATCAGGTACTCTGCAGAAGCCCTGCTCTGCACTGATTTAAAAGTCATCTGGGTGTTGTTCTTTTACATGAAAGAGGGCAGATTTCTACATTAGATTATCAATGTTTTAATATATGTGAAATGGCAGCCTTTGCAGTGTATGGTACTTTCTCCCATCCTCCACCCCTATTGTTTTATTATTTTAAAGTATTTTGTTAAATAAATGAACTACTATCTGCAATGACTTATTGTAAAAGCAACATGTGATCATGAGAATAAAAACACCCCAAAACTACACGAAATCTAAAGAGAACCAAAAGCAGACAAGAAAACAAACAAAGCAATAATAGGAAATAGAAATCCAGCAACAGAGTGATCATTAGATTAAATAGATATATATGGAAAATCTGAAGTAAATAACAACATAAAATAAAAAACAGAAACCCGATGAATGATAAAAACGGTATGTGCAGTGAAATTCATTCTGATGAGCTTGGAGGACTTTCAACCTATTTCTCATCCCCTGGACTAAAACAGGGAAGGCAGTGTCAAGTTCTGCGAAATTCCTGGAAACATTTGGACCATTTGGACCAGGAAGTGTATCTCCAGTGCAATTTGTGCAAATTTTGATCTGTGCAAATTCGGGCTGACTCCTTCACTGGAGTCCTTCTTGATGTTCTTGCAGGTCTAACTTGTCCGGGATGCAAGCAGCTGCATCGTGTGCAAATGCAGGCAACTTGGTCGTCTTGACGTTTGTGCCAGTGAATTTCAGCTTTGTCCAGAATTTGGGCCTTGGCTCATTTGCCCAAAGTTCCCCGGCTTTAAAAAAAAACGCACGAATCACAGCCCATTTGAAAAACAGAAATCCACCTGCTGGTTCAACCCATGTTGGGCAGAGCTTGCGACGTTTGACAGAATGGAATCTGTGCGGCTGAGCTGAGAAAATCCATTGGATTTTCGCCCCCTTATGGACTTTCTCACACATCCTTCAGTTTGATGCCATCTAGTGGACTTAGCCGAATTCTGCAGCCAGCCCTAAAACAACCTTAGAGCAGTCTTTATTTCATTGTACTTTCTGGATGTTTTAGACTCTGATTCCCATCAACCTCAACCCTGATGGCAAATAGTCAGGAGTGCTGAGAGTTATAGTTCCCAAAATCTGTATGTCATCAGGCTGAGGAAAGGTCACCTTGGAGCCAAAGAAGTTGCTTTCAAAATTTATATATAAACCAATTTAAATGGTTAATATTTCCGGAACAGATTCTGTTGGATTTGTAAGCAATACAGGAGGAGGGGAGGTTAAAGAAAAGAAGCTGGGCAGCTAATCAGAGTGTCATTATCTTAAAAATGGGATCCAATTTCCCTTCCTAGTCTCATAGATCCATGTCCTTCAAAGAAGAGATTTCAAGTTTGGTGTTCCAAAATAAATTTTGAGCCAAAGTAACTTTTCTATACTTTCTAGAACAGAAATTCTGTTGAAATTTTTAAAAATCTGAAATCCACACAGTTGGCCTGCAAAATAGCAGTAACTGGAATGTCTGGAATCAGCTTTCGCTTTGCAACTGTACCGAAGCTTGCAGTCAGGAAATGAGGTTGCAGCAAGCAGGGCTGATAACGGCAAGCTAAAGCATCTCTTTCTTTTCAGGATTATGAGTACCCCCTTCACTCTCACGGCAGCCCCTACCAGAAGAACGACCGCTGCCCCCCTCCGCCGCAGACGTTACCAGACCGGGCCTGCGAGGTGCCCAGCTGCCGCTCGGACTCCGAGTGCGAGAGACACAAGCGTTGCTGCTATAACGGGTGCATCTACGCCTGCCTGGAGTCGGTGCCGCCACCCCCAGGTGCGCCGGCCCAAAATGCACCTGGTGTTGGTGCCCCTGCCAAGAGGGCAGGCGAGGCGAACCGGATATCCCTGTCCTTGCACTTTTCACCCAGTCGATGGCAGACGGGAACTCCACAGAGTGCAACTGTGGTTCCAGCTAGGCCAGTATTGCCAACACAGACTGGCAGCAGCCCCTACGGTTTCTGACCAGACCCTTCCTAGCCCTACCTGAGAGTCCAGGGCTCAACCCAGGGCCTTCTGCATGCAATTCCCTTCATCTGTTCTTAGAAACGCCCCTTGATTCTTCTGGAAGGCCACGCAGAACATGTTTTAGAACACAGAGAGGGTGAATAAAGATGGGGATGGAATGTCTTTTTCTTCAATGGCGGAAAGCCATTGAAAAATTCCTTGCAACCATCAGCAGAAAGCATTGGCGGGCTACTCAGAGAACAGATCCAAGTCAGATCACACGCTGACAAATTAAAATATAGTTCCTGGGTTCCGATGCAATTTTGAGCACAGCTGCTTGAAGGAAATGCTAGAGGGTCAATATATCATTTCCACCCTGGTGGAGAATCCCCCTTTCCAATGTCTGCAGACAGAACCTGGAATTCCATAGATGACTGGCCACCCGCCCGCCCCCCATCAGCAGCCCTTCCGTGCTGACATCCCCCTTTTGACACTCTCATGCTTCATAACCGTGTCTTCTCCGGGCAGTTTTAGATTGGCTGGTGCAACCCAAGCCACGATGGCTGGGCGGAAACGGCTGGCTACTGGATGGACCGGAGGAAGTGCTGCAAGGTATGGAGGCCACTGGGGGACAAAACTCGTGCAACATTTGGGAGAGAGAATGGAGTGGCAAAAGAAGCTGCCCTTCTGGAACTCACTGTGTAGCTCCACAAGGAGAGTCTGGAAATATGGGGAGCTGCGTTGTTCCTGAATTGTATCTGCATGTGCATTTCTTGCGGTCGTGAAAAGCCGTTCTGCCCCACCTATGGTGAGGAACGCATCTGAGCAGCAAGGGAGAGGGGAACCTGAGAGGGCGGCAAGTGGGTCTTTGGTCCCGCTGGTCAAAGAGTCCTGGTGTTTCCTCCTTAAGGGCCCAGGCTCCACTACACCACTGTACGGAAGGTGCTGGTTTTGCTCTTTATTGATTATACTTATATCCTGCCTTACATAATCCTCCTGCTCCTCTCCATGCTCTCCTCACAACCCTGCGAAGTAGGCTAGGCTCAGGGTGTGTCTTGCGCCTGAGCAGGGACCAAACCTTCCAGATCCAGGTCCTGCAGTTTCACTGCCAAACCAAGCTGGATGGCTGCATATCCTCATACAAGGTGATGGAAAGATGTCCTCAGGCAGAGAGGTTCCTGCAGCATCTCACCTGTACTTACTAAAACAAGGTGTCTTATGACATGAAAGGGCATCACACACCAGGAAAGGGAAGGGAAGCAGGAAAAATGCTTGGCGGAATGGACCCATTTCCCAGCAGCTCCCGCTTGTTGCTGGAATGGCTGTGGGCGATGGAGCAGCCATGGAAGGAAGAGCTTCCCAGGAGAGATTTTCAGCTGTTCTCCCTCGGCTCCCCCTCACGTAGAGATGCTCACTCCTCAGTGCTTCTCTCCGCAGCTGAAGCGTGCAGCACCACGGAGGACGGCGATGAACCTCTTCACTGCCCGACAGGGTACGAATGCCACATCATCAGCCCGGGCAACGCTGCTGAGGGCATCCCCAACAGGGGGCAGTGCATAAAGCTACGCGGGAACTCTGGTGAGTTGCCACGGGGCACAAACCCAGGACATCTCCACCTGTGGCTCCACCTGGCCAAGTGCTCATCACCTGGAGATCTGGGACAGAGGCCGTTCTCCGGGACCCCTCCCTGAAGGAGATTAGGAGGGTGACCACCCGGAGGAGGGCCTCCTCTGCAGTGGCACCCCAATTGTGGAATTCGCTCCCCAGAGAGGTTCTTCTGGCACCTTCCCTTTATACTTTTCTGTGCCAGGCTAAAAAATTTTTATTTTCCCAATGTTTTAAGATCTAATTGTTTTAACTGGGGTTTTATTGTTGGTTGAAAATTTTGTTAGGATGCTGTGTTTTGTTTTATTTTGTATTGTTAAACCGTCCCGAGACCACGGTAAGGGACAGTCCAGAAAAGTTTTAAATAAACAAATTAATCAACAAATAAATTGAAGCAGCTATACCCAACGAGGGATGCGTGAGGAATCCGTTCAGTGCAAAATGCCTCCGGATTCCCTGCCTTCAGCTTCCTGGACTCTGGTCCACCTTGCAGCTACCCAGATTCAAGCTCCTGGAGAGCAGCCCAGAGCTGGCCCCGCACAGGCCAGGAATCAAGCCGCACCTGCGGTGCAAATGCCACTCTGCCCTGCGCACCAGCGCCACCAGCAGCAGCCCCTGGGGCAGGCTTTCGCTGCCGGGAGCGGCCGCCGAGGAAGGCTGCGGGTTGCTCCGCTGGCTGCTGCGCGAAGATCCAGCTTGGATCTGAGCAGAATCCCCCAGTGCGAATTATTATTCTTACGTTAAATAACAGGGCTTTTGACCCAGGTGGAGACAGGATATGGGGAAGGAGCATTTCTCCTTTTCCCTGCCATGTTCCAATTCAGGTTGGCCTCCCACCCAGTTTGCCTTTCTGGAGCTGTACAGGGGGAGCGACCTGGATCAGGTCCAAGGCAGCAAGCTCTGTGCTTTGGGTCAGGATGGCTTTCTCCTGCTCCCGCTGCCTTGCATTTACATTAAAGACTGAGCCATCACGGAGCAGCTGAATGGGTGAATGCGACTGCTTGTCCATGGGCGACTCCCGGGGGCTATCCCTGCAGCTCTTGCTTCCAGACATTAGGTGTCTCCATAGCTGTACTTTGGACGCATCATGAGAAGGCAAGACTCCCTGGAGAAGACAGTCATGTCAGGGAAAGCAGAAGGCAGAAGACAAAAGGGAGGACCAAACATGACTCCTAAAGGAAGCCACGAGTTTAGAAGGACTGAGCACGGCTCCGAAGGACAGGACAGGACGTTTTGGACCTTCCTTCATAGGGTCGCCACACGTTGGAGATGACTTGAGAGCACATAACCAATAGCTGTTCCTCAGAGCAAAGAGCTAACTCAACGAGGGACAGTCTTCCACAGTCTGGTACTCTCCAGAAGTTTTGGACTACAGCTGCCAGAGTTCCTGACCATGGTGCATGAAGGCTAGGACACATGGGCACTGCAGTCCAAAACATCTGGAGGACACCAGGTAAGAATGACTGATATAGGAACTGGTAAGAATGTCTTTTCAATTCAGGTTTTTATAAGAATTTAACAAAATCCACACTTTTTAAGAATGGGAGTGGAAATTTTGTGATTGAAAAACAAAGGTGGGGGAAAGCAAAACAGAAGATTTGTCCAGGCAAGCACAGAGCTTGGAGTGCCTCGCTCTTAAAAATCTGGATTTAAATCCCTTGTTTCCAAGCATGTTAATGGAACTGGATAAGGTTGCCCCCATTTTTTGTGGGGGATTCCTTGTCTTTAAAAGCTTTGTGGCAGACTGGTAAAATATGGTCTCCTCCACACCAGACAAAGCTGTACCGCTTGAGTTTAACCATGTAGTTGGGTGAGAATTTAGTTTTGGGTCATTTTGATAGCAATGTACCAACATTCAAAAGCATCTCCCTGTTCAGGGTGGAGAAAACTTGGGAATAAAAGATGAAAAGAGTGGTTCAAAACATTCCTCAAGTCCTAACTAGGTGAACTCTTTATATTGTGCACTTAGTGCAAGGCTGCAGTTTAAAGAGTATGTTCTAACTTCCTTCCTTCCTTCTCCAGATGGATGGAATCTAAGACCTAAGTATTACAAGGAATATTTTGGTAAGTCTGTAGGGACTCTCACCTTCTGGTGTTTACATAAGCCATTCCCCAACTTTCCATCACACCTAAAACCAGAATCTTGGGTGGGGCTGTATGCTGATGAAGGGGTGGAGCTATGCTGATAGGCACAGCCAAGTTCGGGAAAGCGGGCCAGGGAATGCTTCTTGCTCGTCTGCTGGAAACTTCCCATCCCTGCTTCCTCCCTCCTTGAAGAGGGCTGCCTTGATGGGGCCTAAATCTTGGAATGTCACAGAGACTGTGGAAATGGCCAAAATATTCTCCCAAGTGCCCAGCCGTGCCTCTCCCTGACACCTGCCCAGATTTTTATGTTGTTTCATCTCCAGCACTTGCTTTTCAGGAAGCCGTTCCAATAATGTGGTGGGTTATGTAAAACCACAGCAGAAACCTCTTGGTTAAGTCAAGCAAAACCTCCAGGAGACACTTCCCAACCTGAGATGATGCCTCTACTGCCACTGCAAGCACCCTGCCTCTCCGCCTCTGCTCCTGCCGTCTTGCTTTCCTGCCGTCATCACGGTCGCCAGCAGGATCCCTCAAGTCCACCTTGGCTTGCACCTTGACCTCACGTTCTTGTCCTCCGCTTGGTTTGGACAGGACAACCTCTCACTGACTCGGATGCATCGTGTTCTTTCTAAGCACACAGCTGCTGATCCAGTTTGAACTCCTTGTCTTCTCATTTTTATACTTCCTTATAGCTCAGAGACCAGTAAGAAAGCTCAGATGGGACACTGAGTCATACAGAGACAAAGGGACTAATTGATATACTTTCTCGAAAAAATACAGGGACACAAATCAGCCTTCGGTGGGTCACCTGTCGGTTATATTTTTCTGATATTTAAAAGTCATGGTTTCAAATAGCGTTCTTCACTCTAAATGCCTTCAGAGCATCAATTTATCCCATCACTCACATTTCAGCAATACAAGGTTTCTGGCAGGGAATGACATCTTGCCGTGAGACTTGTACACAGAAATAAATATATCTTGTCCTGGTAATCACGTTTTCTCTGTGGGCTTCAATCATGTTCACGATGGACCAGGTTTGAGTTTTGTGCTTGGAGAAGACTGTCTGGAGTGTGGGAAGGTAAGTTAAGTGGGAGGGGAGAGGTGGATCGACACAGAGTAACAGTCGGCGTAGGGTGGGAATTCACCAGTTGAGGAGACCATGGTAGGGGTGGCCCATTTGGCTTGGAGCCCCAAAACCTTTCTTTGGAGCCCTGAATATCTGGGATCCCATCTGTCCCACAATGCCGCTGTCCATTCCCAATGTGCCAAACTAAAAATCCAAGCTCCCCAAAGATCTGAGCTGCACCTGATTCCCCTGGATTAGCTGGCTCTTTTGAGATTCTTTTCCTGAAATCAAATTTCCTCCATACATCCCCTGGAGAGAGGGTCCCGCTGCAGAAATGTCGGGAAAAATGTGCACTTTTTAATGTGCATTTAAATATGCACACTTTTATGCTTTTCTCAAGGGATGAAAGTTTGCATTTGGGTGCACATTTTGAAAAGAGGCAGGCCAAAATGTGGGTGATTCTTGTTCTAGTAAAAGGAAAAACGGATCTTGATCAGAAATAGAAGTGAGACGGTCTGGTCTCCAAGAGAAAGCTCCGAGAATCTCAGTGAATTGCTGATTTTCCTGTTTATAGCTTAGCAAGAATATGTGTAGGCTGACATGGTGAAACAGGCAACAGAACCAATCAAGAAGAAGCATTCTTTGCAAAGTCAGGCAAAAAAAGAGAGGGAACAAAAGATATTTTGGGGCACTGCTGTAGCCGATGAAGTAGCCGATGAAGTGGAAAATCTCTCTCCCTGAACCCCCGGAGAGATGCTCATCGTCAAGACAGACAAGTCTTCCTTGATCTGGTGCCTTCCAGAGCTTTGAATTTCAGCTCCCAGCAACTCCAGTCAGCATGGCCAGTGGTCAGGAATGGGGAAGTTGTTGGTCAAAGCATCTGGAGAACACCTGGTTCGGGAAGGCTGGGGAAGAAAATGTGGATAGAGTCCAAACGGACAGAAGAAAAGTTCCTATGTTCAGACAAGGCTCAGTAGCAAAGGACATGCTTTGCACCAAAGACTGCACAGGTGGAATGACTTATTCTCCACCTTGAATATGCCAAACACAGGCCAGAGCAGGTACGTATGAGAGACTTCTGCCAAGCCATTATCCACCCCCAACAGATTGTATCAACCCCCCGTCCTGTGTAAGGCTTTCTCCATGGCTTGGAATATTTGGGGCACATGTTTTCCCACACATGGAATCCTGAAAGAGCACATGGCAGTATTTTATTCCTGTGGCAGGAAACACCTTGGGAGCCCTCATCATTGGGGCGGTGTCATGGGGACCTGTATGGCATTCCTGTCTCTTTCCCGACTCTTTGGTGCCAGCTCCTGTTGCAGTAGAGATGAAGGGGGCTTTCCAAACAGACCTGGGGACAGAACCACCTCCAGAGGGTCTTGGGTGGGAGCCAAGGGCTGGTCGCATCCCTGGGTGGAATGCATGAAGGCATTTCCCTCTCCAGAGAAGGAATAAACCCCGGAAGAATGTTTGCCGAAGAAGAGGGAAATGGTTGGGATGGTCTGACGCCATGAATAACATTCCCCACAGAAACCTTTCAGTCTAATATTTATGGCCTCTACCTGTTCTGCTGCATGCCAGCTACACTGCCCTGCTGGGATCGGCAAAGCCTTTCCTTCCAGATACACATCTCTCCTGCCAACAGAGGGAATGTTGCTGATTCAGGCCTGAAGGGGGGTTACTTTTTCCCCCACTGCTGAGGTCAGTGCAGCTTGGAGAACTCTAGGAATGCAAGCTGGACCAATGGATTGGGCCACGGCATTTTCATCCATTAAAAAGTGGGCCTTGGGACACTTTTGAAAAATGTGAGCAACTTGCTGAGAAGCCCTGAGCAGTGCATAGCAGTAAAAATCATATATAGCAGGGTGGATAGACGCAGTCGGTGTACGGGGTGTTTCAGAAATGCAGGTTCTTGGCTCAGAATCTCACATGTCCTGCAGATTCTCACATGCCAAGAACTGGCAGGAGTCATGGCGAGAGCAGATTATAATTTCGGGGTGCCAGAGCCAGCACCGTCCTTCCTCTTCCCCGGCCATTTATGCATCACTGAAACATTCGGACACCGACTTGCATCAGATGCTCTGCTTTGAATGGATCAGTACCAGTTTTTTTGCAGGAATTTCTAGCACTGAAATGGAAATACGCTGTAGCTCCCAACGGAGAGAGAGAGGGATTTCGAAGTATGCGCCCATTAGCAGGTTCAAATTAATGCATTGACTTTTGCCCTGGGGACTGAACCCCAGCAAAGCCGTGCGCCAGCCTGCCCCGTATGTCTTCCAGGTGCGGAGTGTTGATGAACACCTCCCAGGCCCCCATTTTTCTCTCCTCCCTGATGGTTCTAAGACTTCGAACCTCTCTGTCAATGGAGGACACCTTCAGAGGACTGCCCTCTGCAAAGAAGGCAGCAGCGCAAGGAATCCACGCACCCCCCTCGCACTGCCAATGAGCCTCATCCACCATTCCGACAAGGCACGCGGGAAGCAAAGAAAAATTGCTGACGGGGGCCAGTGTCTTTGTCCCCACGGAGCTGCAGCAGTCATCTCTGTGGACCAGCAGGAGCAACCCAGGGCCTGGCATCGGCTCCTCCCCATCCCCCTCCCCTGCTCCTATTTTTCAACAGGAGGCTGCAAAGATGGAACTGTGACGCATCCCCATGGAGAACAAGGCCAATACCTTCCCCATGGAGGGCCCTCATGCCCGTGCCGCCCCCACCAGTGAGGGAGGTTGGAGGGGAAGCTGGACTGTTCCACCAAGCCCTGCTGGAAGACAGACTCATTTCCCCCTCCTCTCTCCCTATGTCCTTTTCCTGGTGGACCCCGTCTTTTCAGGCCACAAGCCTTCCTTCCTGCCGGGTTTCCCCATCTTGCTTTCCTGAGTGCTCTGAGAGCGGTTTTGGCTGAAGACCGGGGTAAAAATGCTTTAAATAAATAAGTGCCTTCTCCACAGAGCAATGACCTTGTCCCGGCATGAGGTGTGGTTGCGTCATTCACCAAGAGTATCCAAAAATCTCACCGCCCCCTCTGGAAAGAAATATAAAGAGGACCAACGGAGAGAGCTGTTACTTGGCTTGGGCTGTCATGTCCCATAGCCTACAAAGCAGGACAGCAAGGCTTCCCTGGGCCAAGGGGAAGGCTGGAGCCCTGAAAAAGTGAACCAACCAGGTATTCCAGCCACTCTGAGCTGGCCTGAGGCAGGAATTCAGCCTCTCCCAAGCACCTGTTGTGAGCGGCGGGTGTGGTGTTACCGTGTCGGCATCAGGTAACACCCACCGATCAGCTTTCCTTGGCTCACGAGGGAATGTAAGCCTTCGCCAGGAAGCAGAACTCAAAGGACAAGCCGCAAGAAGCAACTGCAAAGGCTTTGCCGGCCGCTGCCTTCGTCCGAGCCACTGCTGCCGCAGCCAGTGAGGCAACCCGAGATGGGGACCATGAGCTTCTTCTCCAGCTTCCTCCAGAAGGCCACCTTCCATCTCCACCGGAGCCGGAAATACCAGCCGGTGGGTGACAGCGAGCCTGAAGAAGAGGTAAGAAGGTCTTCTCGTCATCTTCTGGGAAAGGTTGAGGCATGGGGGGCTGTGTCTCCCGCGACAGCCCTGCAGTGGCACAGGTGTCCCCCAGATGGGGCTGCACAGCGGCCAGAGTGCCTCCACCTAGGGCTCTTACGGGGCAGTTGTGTTGCCTCATTCAAAGCGTTTCAGGAGACATCCAGGTGTTCTTTTCTCCTCTTTGCAGCCCTCTGGTGTTTTTCCACTCCTCCTGCCCTCACCTTTCTTACCAGGGAACACACACAAATAAGAGGAAAAGGCAGAATAGCCACTGCTTGAATCCGGACTGTTAATGCCAAGGACTCTCCGTCTGGAATCACCCCAGCTTGCTGCCAGATCGAGGAAGCCCTGCCGGTCTTCCCTCTGTCCCTCCTTATTCTGCTCTCTTGTGCACACTTCTGATGTGACCCCGGACTCGATTAACCTTTTAAAACATCATCATCATCCTTGGAACCCATACAGCAATTCTGTAATGTTGGTCAGTTATAAATACTACCCCTATGTTGCATCAGGGGGGAATTGAGGGGGGGGTTATGTATAGATGTCTCGCAAGTACATGAAAGGGGCAAGATTCGAACCAGGGATTTTCAGCAAAGTTACTTAGCCCCTTGCTCTTATATACACATGTCCCACACATGCATTTCACCAGGAAAAATAGGATACGTCCAGGTTTAACAGCTATTTTCATTGCTTATGCCAGGGAGTTTCTCCCTGAAACTTAAACCAGTCCTCATTCCTGGCACCTTTCGCAGCCAATGGTCAATTACATTGGTCTGTCCCACAAAACTCTCCCTGTCACAGGTTCTGCAGAAGTGCATACTAGTGAACAGCAAATAATTGTGCCCTTAAAACACACACACACACACACACACACACACACACACACACACACAGAGAGAGAGAGAGAGAGAGAGAGAGAGAGAGAGAGAGAGAGAGAGAATGAGAGAGAGGAGTGCTTAATTTTGATTTTTCTTAATTCTGGAATAGCTGGAATGGTTTATTAGGGAATTGTTCAATTATTATAATAGGATGGTAAAAAGAAAATGGGATATAAATCTAATACATAACGAAAGAGCTGCAAGGCAACTGCGTGCGCCGCTGCCCTGCTGTTCCAGTGGGTTGTTAAGGGACCGTCGCAAGGACGGAAGGCTTGTGCTGGTGTTTTCTGTATCGGCTGCAGCCCCTCTTCGCCCCGGCCCAGACATGTCAGAACTCGGGAGAGGAGGCCAGCCCCTTCCTCCAGGAACCCCAGCCCATCCTCCTCACCATTTTATCCTCACGAGAACCCTGTGAGGTAGGGCAGGATGAGAGTCAAGAACTGGCCTCAAGAGTTTCAAGACCAAGTCAGGACTAAATTCTGGGGCTCCTGTGACCCAGTCCAACCCTCCAGCCATCACACCACACTGGAACAGGTGTCCTTGCGCATCTCCTTCCTCACTGGCTTTTGAGATTTCCTCAACAGATTGCCCTCGCATTCCCAAACTTATCTTCATGGCCGCAAGGACTAGAAACTTGGCATATTTGAAGTAAAAAAAAAAAAAAAGAGCTCTGCAGCTCTCAGAATTCTGAGCATTTCCTGAAGCATCTTGTTGCTTCTGTGCCACACTTGCAGAAGTGCAGAATAAACACAGCTGTGGTCCTTTCTTTGAAGTCCAACTACAGCCTCTTTCGCAAGCTGTGCTTGCCAACACGTCTTGGTTAAACTAACAGTTTTATTTCCTCCAGGCAACCTCTGAGCGAAGTGACATGCTTTTTATTATGCTTCGCTTACATTCCTTTGCACAAGCTCAAGGACCCTGGGCCTGGCCTGGATTTGAATGCAAACATACCAGCCTCTGCTCTTTGCGTTTCCTGCTGAAGTATCACCAGGACTTGATCTGCTGTCAATAAAGCCATTATGATGCACTCAACCCAAGGGCAGAACTCAGTTTCAAGGAAGCCTTTGCCGGGCACTTCCTGGCAGGGGCTGGAAGGGATGTAGGAAGAACCCACTGATGGGGCCGGTATTTCATTGGATTTTCCCAGTTTGGCCCCCTGGGTTCCAGTTTGCTGTCCAGCTGGTGCTAGCTCACGGCTGTTGAAGTCTAGCTAGCTCCTGATGAACTTCGGTGCTGGTTTTTTCCTTTAACCTCCAACAGAATTTGCAGAATCTGCTGCCAGAAAAATACATTGTTTTAACTGGACTTCGGCAAGTTGCAACCATTTCACTGAGCCAGGTGGGTTTTGGGGAGCAGTTTTCTGCCAAAATGGCTTGCATGAAACAGTAACAGAGAAACAGTCTTTTTTTAGCAATATATGTGCAAACTACATCAACCGATGTGTTTCCCAGGCAATGTTTTGTGTAAAACCATCCCTTTTCTGCACAAATCTCACTGAGCCACATGCAAAGACAACATCTGGAAAGCACATGGGCCGTGCCCGTGGTGCAGGTCCTATTAAAACCATGTGCTTTCCCAGCACCAGCTTCCATAAATTCCAGGGGTGGCTTCAGAAAACACATAAATCCAGGGCTTTGCAGGGAAGCGATGACACTTTTGGAAGGAGGAGGCCATCCCCTTACGTCACGCGGACCCCCGGGGGTGTCTGGGAGGCAATCCAGCTGAAACAGCTCTCCACCCCTTCTCCACCAACAGGCAGCTGGTTCCGCAGGGTGCCTGGAATCCTTTGATCTGGTGCTGCTGGGAGATGCAAAGCTGCCGTCCTGCCCTTGGTTGATGTGAGCAATTGAGCTGACACTGCTCTAATCTCAGTGCTGGACATAGCGAAGTCTTCTTCGTGCATGTAGATAACCAAGAACAACCCTGCAGATCTGCTGGATTGCAACTCCCATCAGGATACCCATTGGCCCGGCTAGCTGGGGCTGCTGGGAACTGTAGCACGGCTCACCTGCTTACAGAAGCCCCTAGAAAGAAAGGGGTCTTCTTAGCTGCCCCCAACTCTACCCCATCCAATTCTTTGCATCCCACAGCCCGAAGACGACTCGGGAGTGCAGCTGGTTGAACAAGAGAAAGACGTCTCCGCCATATCTCCCAGAGAGGCTTGCAAAAGCAGTACAGAGGAGCTGGCCAAAACATTGCAGGTAAGGCCTGTCAAGCCACTGCAGGGGACTTTGGGAGAGCCATCTTCCTGCTTCTTGCCTTCAGTAGCTAAAGACTGAGAAATAAAGCACCCTCTCTTCACAGCAGGCCAAATACCGCATGTCATCTCCCAAATTTCCAGGTATATGTCTGCAGGCAAGCAGAACAGTTCAAGCGAACTGTGGCAACCAACCGTTGTTTCAGCTGCTTTCACTGGGTTTGGGCAGCACGACAACCCATCCTGTGTTGCCACCCACACTGGGGGATTGTGCCCCGTGAAGCTGTACTGATTGCCCCAGGATGGCTTGTCTGAGGGCAACAATCCACCCCAACAAGCCAAAGGCTCTTGTAAGGTTTCTTGCACCTGGATGGCTGAGTCCGTCATAGGTACAAAGAATTAGCTACGGAGCCTCTTGGCAAAATATCAAGGCATCCCACTCTGGGAGATGCCGGCGCCAGCCTTCCCAAGGTGCCCAAGTGGCACAGGGGGAAGCTGATATTGCCCTCCTCCCGTTCCCCACTCCAAATATGAGCCATTGCGGGATTGCTGTGGCTTTCCCCCGCTTCCCCCTGCGTTTTCCAAGGATAGTGATCTCTATTTTCCCACAATCCCTGTTTTGACAGCCCCTGACAGCCCCTTCAAAGTGCCCAAGCAGTACCTAGGAGGGGCGTCAGGATCCAGAGTTTCTCCCAACACCCCAGGCACAAATTTTGCTCATGCAAGTGTTTTGTATATTTTCTATTAACTCCATCTGTGCAACTTCAGGTGGATTTACAAAAGGGACTTTCTGAAGACTCAGTCCTGCAGCGCAGGGTCAAACATGGCTGGAACGAATTTGTCGTTGATCATACGGAACCGGTGTGGAAGAAATATCTTGACCAGGTAAGGAATATTAGTCTTTCCAAAGGGTTTGTGGGGTGGGTGTGTTTTCCACGATGGGGACAGCCTGCCCCCAAGCATAGCAAGGGTTGGTTCAAAGCAAACATGCACATCTGTTCCAGCTGCATTGAGGGTTGGGGGACAAGACAGATGTGGTTAATGTGGATCACGCTCCAAGATGTTCTGCTGCTCACATTCCCTTGAAAGGATTCGGAGATGCTCATCTAACCTGCCCCAAAGTTTGTCCAATTTGCTCTTCCAAATAGCTTCCATACAGCCTGAAGTGCCTGATCCTGCCTAATCTTGGAAGCTAAGTAGTGTCTGTTTAAAATCTGGAAGGGGGAGCTGTGTTGTGAGTTGTGCAAAGAGCTTTGGCCATGGGCAGTGTCGAAATGCAATAATGACCATGTGTCCACCCAGTGAAATGGCTAAGGCAACCCCTGGCCAGCCTTTTCTGGAGGGAATATGAGTATAAATGAAGTATATTATATATTGTTGATTGTTACGCTTGCATCCATATATGCCCTCCCGCCCCCAGAGATCAGCGGCAGAAGCCCTTCTCCGGGAACCCTCCGTGAAGGATATTAGGAGGGTGAGTACCCGGAGGAGGGCCTTCTCTGCGGTGGCACCCCATCTGTGGAATGCGCTCCCCAGAGAGGTCCGCCTGGCGCTGTCGTTATTTGTTTTTCGGCGCCAGGCTAAGAACTTTTTATTTAAAACTTATTTTAAGTGTTAATTTATTATGGAGGATTTTTTTTAAAAAAAAATTAAGCTGAGATGCACCGGGTTTTAATATTTTTAATGTATAAAATTTAATATGATTTTGTTTGTTTTTGTTTTGGTTGTGAGCCGCCCCAAGGCTTTGTTGCGATGGGGGCGGCATAGAAATGTTTTAAATAAATAAATAAATAATAAAATAATATATGAAATGAAATGGAGGCAACAGTTGGTCTCCTGGGGAGTGGGTGCACAATGTTAACTGTTATTTTTGGTTATTAGATGGGCTTTGGGTGTTAATATATTGTGAATGGTATGCATCTGTATTGTATTGTATGTATTTATGTTTTTTTTCCGGCAAAAAAAAGGGGGGGCGATGAAAGAAAGGGGGGGAAAGACCCTTGGCCAGCCTCCAAAAAACCATGGGAAGTGCACTGCTCCGAATAACCACTATGATTTAAAGCGGGATGGATAGATTTTGCAGATTTTGCAGATTTTGCATTTGGCTAGCTTCATTCTTGGGATTCCTACTGGGGCTAGCTGAGATGCCAGCCCCGATACTGGGGCTAGTAAGAGCCCAGTAAGAGCCCGTTTGAACAGCTTGCTTTGGCACGGACGGTGGAGGTGGGGATGGAAAGGAGAAGCAGATCTGCCTACTCCTTGCTCACCAGCCAAGCGAGTGGTAAGCCATGGCAGGGACAGAGCAGAGTCTTTGCCCCGGGGCTTTGGAAGCCCCGGAGCTACACGGACCATCACGCGGCTAACATTGCAGGGTAAAAACTTTGATCAAGCCAAGGTTCCACTCTACTTGGCACTGTCTGGGGTTTCAGAAGTAGCTGGGATTTTCTTGGATTATTTTGGCCAGTGGCAATGCTTGCTCTCGTAGGAAATCATCGCTGTCCTTTCAGAGGGGCAAAATCTGCTAAATTAAACCTTGGGCAAAACCTGGCGAGGTGAAGGTTGTGTACGTCCTTCCTGTCGCTGTCACAGCAGTTTCTAGGAAGCAGAAGAGTGTCCTTGCTCAAAAGGCAGGAATGCGGGGTCAAAAATGCCCCTTTAAAGAGACCGGCCTGATTTGCTATGCAGAGAGAGGTGGAGCGGGCGAGGCTGGGATCAGAAGGTGAAAAGCTTGTGAAGCAACGCAGGATGCCGTTTCCTGCGCCCGAATCTACCTGAGCCTCGGAGGATGGCGGCAAGGGGAAGGGGCTTCGCAGTGGTGGCCCCCATTACGGAATGATCTCCCCCAAGTGGCCCCCTGGTGGTGCCAGGTTCTCACGACCCTCTGTTGCCAAGCATTTCATGGCATAATGGGGCATTTATGTTTGCTTTCTTTAAAACATTACTAGCATTTAAAAAAGAATCACGTCATTTTAGCTGTTTAAATGCTCCAAAGTTTATATATTGACATACTATGCAATATTTTCTCCTCTGCACTTGTGATTATGACTTGTTGAGAACAGCCCACAGAGCTTTGGCTATTTGGCAGTCCAGGAAATAACAGACGGCACCGAATCAAAAGCACCCAAATGCTGCAGGTTAGCTCAAGATACAACTTCAGTGGGAGCAGACAAACCCCTAGAATACTCAGCAGAGAAGATGGGTGGTGCCACTCTAGGCCGTGAATGTGGACGTTGCATTTCTGAACACAACCATTACCCTGCGAGCAAAGCGAAAACTGGAGAAAGCAGATACTTCCTCTTGCTCCAGAGTGACTATTTTACAAGCTATATATATATATCTTTAGTTAGAGAAGAATTCAGTAGGTGTTCCTGGTCCTCCTGAAGTCCAAGATGATTGATAGGTTGATTGATTGTCAGACAGACAGACAGCCAGACCGACCACCCTTCCTCCGAAATGATCCCAAGCTAAGAAGACCTCATTATCTCGCTCACTCCCAGTGCTACTGGCTCCAACCCCCCCAGCCCACAACAGCAGCCCCTCGCCAAAATCCGGTGGGTGCCTTCCATGCACAGGCCGTTTCCAAGTGTCTGCAAGGCAGAACAGGCTCCCTTCCTTGTCGGGGAGCTGCATTGCTCCCCCAGTCCTGACCTTGCCCTCCCTCTGTTTTAGTTTAAGAACCCGCTGATCCTTTTGCTGCTGGCTTCCGCTTTGGTCAGCGTGATTACGAAAGAGTATGAAGACGCCGTGAGCATCGCAATGGTATGTGCTTCTTTTCTAATGCCTTGAAAGTCCAGACTCCTTGATTGTAGGCTCCTTGGAACTAGAGACCCCTCCTGATACTAGGCAACAGGGAAGGAGGAACTATGAAATAAAGAATGGCATTTCCAAGGGGACACCTAATCGCTCTTGTCACTGCCATTAAAAAAGGGCATACATGCTGACTTCGGGATGAAATGGCCAAGTATGGCGGAGTTTATTGCCAAAGAGACCTTCGTATTCTCACAATTTTCCTTTAGTTGCTCTCCAAAACATTTATTAGAAGGAGATTGGAAGCCACCTCAAGCAAGTTGGGCTGCTTGGTTATGTCCAATCCCAGACCTAGCAAATGGGGGTCCACAGCAGAGCTGGGGAACCAGCCAGCTTGGAAGGCAGGGGTCTTGTGGGCAACTGGGGGACCCCTGCAGGGCCACGCTGAGTCCTCAAGGTGATGAAATAGACATAACCGAAAAAGAACCTCGAAAGCTTTCGATTGCATGATTCTCTGACGGAAAAGCAGCTGTGGGAAGGACTTCCTGAAAGCCCATGCAGGAGAGGCCAAGCAAAATGTTAACTGGAACGAAGCTTCATGCATACAGAGCCACCACCAGGAATACTGCGTTCCTTGTGCTTGGCACTCTGATCAGTCTTGCCGCCATGCAGAGGAGAAGTCCTCTGAGGCAGACTAGATGGGGATGAAGCTCGGGGCTGCTGCATTAGAGGGTGGTCATGCATCACCCTTTGTGTTTCATTCCAGGGGAGCCCTGGAATAATCTTCTCAGTTGATCCTGTATGAAGCTTGCCCATCACTTTCCTCTTTTTCCTCTCGCTAGGCCGTCATCATTGTGGTCACAGTGGCCTTCATTCAGGTACATCCTCTTTCTAAAAACCAATTCCCGTGTCTCAAGTTATCATTTCCGTTGCCATCACCTGCTCAGGCAAAGGGGAATTGACACCACTGGGCTCCTCTCCTTTCAGGAGTACCGTTCTGAAAAATCTCTGGAGGAGCTAAACAAACTGGTCCCCCCCGAGTGCAACTGGTAAGTCGTTTGAGCATCCTTCAGTTTGACCTTTGATGGGAAAAATACTTCACCCGTGCACATTTGGAGGGATAACACACAACAAGCCCAGCTCAGATTCACACCACCCCAAGATGTTTAGAACCATGGCAAGCTGTGAGAAAAGCTGGAGCAAGTCCCATGCTTGTTCCTGCAACTCTGGACACTCCCCCCCTAGAGTTGAACAGAGTTAAACCAACCCTGGAACACCCTGCTGAGCAATAACCCTGGATCGTTTTAGCAAGATGTCCAAACGTGGAACCCTAGGTGGTAGATAAGCCAGGGAACAATTGTTCTGTCTGCAAGCCACATGTTCCCTCCTTCCCCCAAACCAACCAGATCAATCAGCTGGGAAAATCCATCTTTTTTGGAGGGTTATGGCCACCTTCTAAGCAAGCATAGAGGACTGAAGGGGCTGGCAGATGGGTGCCACTCAAGAAGTCTTGGTGCTTTGTCCCGGAGAGCCCTGGATTCACTACACCACCGTCGGGGCCCTTGTTGCTCCAAAGAGGTTATCAGCAGTGGCCTGGTCCTCTTGCTGTTCTTCTTTGCCGTGGCTCTCCTGCCCTCTGGCTGAAGGGGTGGCCGAAGGAGCAACAGGGCTTTTGTCCTGGCCCTCTCATAAGACTTGGCTCCTTGGGTCATTCTGCGAAAAGGAATGGTCCAGTTCTTCTCATGTTCTTAAAGAAGCCTCCCCCAACACGATGTCCTTTGGACTTCGGCTCCCATCAGCCTCACCCAGCAGGGCCGATGGCCAGGGATGCTGAGAGTTGTAGTCCCAAACATGTGGAGGCACCAGCACTGAAGAAAGCTACCTCGGGGAGAGAAGAAGCAGTTTTCACTTGCGCAACGTTCGTTCTCAGGTGGGTCATCAGTGGGCAGGAATGAGGAGATGCGTGACCTACCAAGAGACGGGCCCACTCAAAGGATGCCTTTACCCCGCCTGGCCGCCCAAACTCATCTGCTGCTGGTTCTGGAGATTTCCTTCCCCATTACATAGCCAGGCAGACTTCTTTGCTACAGATCACTTTCTAAGAGCTTGAGAATGACTATAAATAGATACCTGTTTGATCAATTGTAAAACTGTACCAGTGATAAAATGTCCCGTATTTGGTTCTTGGGTGTTTATTTCACTGGCCGGAGCTCCGTGCATTTTAAGTCATCAGTTCCTGGACTGATGCCCATTTCCTTCTTGACTATAACGACGAAATACCACTCAAGTTGAGCCAGGGCAAATAGATCGTACTTCTTGTGCTTGCAGTGAATGTTTGAGCGCAATTCCAAGGTGGCTGATTTGCCTTTCAAGGTCAGGGAATGCTTTGATCACTTCTTTTCCATGTTCCTTGCATTGCTTCCAGGCACACCTTGTAGACAGAAAAGACTTTCTACTGGGATAACCGAATAGACCCATGTAATGTTAAGCCGCAACTCCCAACCTCTTGCCAAGGGTTCAGTCTGACTCAATAGAGACGGAAACCCCACTTTTGGCCAACCATTCAAAGTTCAAAGCTGCAGAGCAATGGCTGTGGAGCAACTGCCTTTGAATTAAAGGTGCTTAGCATGGAAATGTATGCCCATATTTTGCCTATTCGTTCCTCTCTCTCGCACGCTCGCGCACACGCAACTTAAGAAAGAAATATTTCTGAGACAACTACAGGGTGCCAATTTTGGTGCCCCTTAGCTACTTAAGACACCATTTTCTTTGTGTCTAGAAAGCTACCCAAAGGGCACTTCAGACAGCATTTTTCAAAAATCTGACACATTTTTATAATTCGCTCTCCTGGATTCCAGTTCACCAGGCCTGTTCCAACACCAAATTGTTAGGTTGCATACACAGTCAGCTTGTGGACATCTGACTCTCAGATGGGTTGCAATTTGCAGATTAAAAACCAAAAGACTGAGGAAATTTCCATAATATGGACTGATTTGCTCAAAATACGGCAAGGCGCACGGATCGCATAAATTCGTGCAAATTGCGCAAATGTGTGCAAATTGCATAAATAGCTCGATCGTTGCACATTTTCCCAGCATTTTTAAAATGCGCAAGCCACACCCACCCTAGAGATGGGAGTCCATGGGGAAAGCCCAACCTGGACCGCTTCCAATCATCAGATCAGAAATGGGCAAGGAATTCATCTGACTCCGGTGAGCTGGGCTTCCCAGCATCGACACATCGCAGGTAGGAAGGCAAGAGAGGTGTTCTTGGTGGCCACTCCCAGACTCCGGCCCTCCTTGCGGGGAGGCTAGCCTGGAAATTATTTGTCGTCCTTCTGCCAGCAGGCAAATGCGGTTGGGCTCCAAAGCCCAAGGTAGGCCCTGGGGGTGTGAGCTGTTGCAGAAAGGGCTTTAATTAGTTGGATGCTGTTGATTCCTTCTGTGTTCGGACTCTTCATTATTCCTTGAATGTATCTCTTTATGCATTAGCTTCTAGTGAAGACTTTGCTTTTAATCTGGATTTTGTTAACCAACTTGAATACCTTTTCAGGGCAGAAAGTCCAGCCATAAATTCAGGATTTCTGCTCCCAGGACTCCTGGCAATTGGTCATGCTGTCCAGACTGTCAGAAGGGCATCGATTGGGCAAGGAGGCCTTTGGGAAACTCATGGACTGGCTTCAATGGCAGCAGCCACAATAGCCTTGCCCACTGGGCACTTCCTAACAAATGGAATTGAGGCCTAATAATGGGCTTGAACTTGGTGTGTCCATAATGTCACCGTGCCTGATATCATTGGCGGAGACATCTTTACCTTTTCCTTCCAGGAAAATGTTGGACGGGTTGGGCCAGGAGACCTAGGTGTGATCCGACCCAAAGCAAGTTCTTATGTCCCTAAGAACAAGGTCCTGGGCTTTTGTTTCCTCCCTCCTCCTCCTCCTCTGTTTCTTCTCTGTGTTTGCTTTCATTTTCATCTTTCTTTCCTTGCTCTCCCCCCCCCCCACTTCCTTCTTTCCTCCTCAATAGCAAAAGAGTAGAATGCAAGGGCAGCCGAGATGTACCTGAACCAGCAGAGAACACCCTTGAGCAGCTCCGCTCTGCTCACACACAATGCCCTGTTTTTGCCATTTGTCTCTCCAAAACTGCAGCCTGAGGGAAGGGAAGCTGCAGCACCTTCTTGCCCGAGAGCTTGTGCCTGGAGACATTGTGTGCCTCTCCATGGGAGACAGGGTTCCCGCGGACCTGAGGCTCACCGAGGTAAGACGTGCGTGCGTGTCGCCGTGATGCAGCTTGTTGCAACGTCCGTCTCCAGCCCCGTTTCTCATACGTCGGGTCCTGCAAATCTGAAAGGGGCAAGCTGAAGGTGCCTTGTGAAACTCCAAGGGACCTGCCTGCACACTTAGATCATCTCTGGAGGTCCTCTGGTGGCAGGGGGCAACTGCGCAGAAGCCTTCCGAGGAGGATGCCCAGCTGGAGAGAGACCTTGCAAGACTCTCACACTGATGTCGTTTTGGTACCAGGCAAATAACTGGCTGGGTTTCCCAAGCCTTTTAATCGTGGATGTTTCTGCTCTTCATGTTATGTTGGTTGCTTTCTGCTTCTGCTGGCTATCAGTAGGTTTTTGTTAGATTGTTTTTAGTTTTATTAGAATGTCGGGATGATGGTCATGATCAAATGGTCAGATGGTTGATTTTTGTTTCATTGTTTTAGTGTTAATAGGATGATGGTTATGATTCTGATTCTATGCAGCCAAGATATAGATGATGATATATAGATGACATAGATATAGATATATATCTATTGGCAACTGGAAATTACCTTCAAATTACCTGCCTACATGGTTCAGGTCCAAATTACCTTCAAGAGTACCTCAGCCACTAAGGTTCTCTGGGGGTAATCTGAAACATACCTCTGTAAGCTTACCTGTTTAAGATTAATATCAACTACCCAGAGGACTTCCTCAGTGCTAGCGGCTAAATTATGGGATGTTCTGCCAGCAGAGATGCATCAGGTAAGAGGAAGTTAAGACGTATCTCTTCTGACAGGCCTTCCCAATCTGCTATTTAATGTGTTTGTTTTTAGTTGAAATTTAACTACGGTTGGTTAACTACAGTTAGTTTAACTGAGGTTGGTTTTACGCACTTGTAAACTGCCCAGAGCCTGTAGGAATGGGGTAGGATATAAAATGTAAACAAATAGATAGAAATAGAAATGATGATATGGATACGATCTGTATATAGACAGATGGTATGGACACAGAAAGGATGGTATGCTATTACGTATTTATATTTTTATGGATGAGAGACAGTGCAGTGTAGCAGTTAGAGCATTGTACTTGGGTGATCTAAGTTCTACTCCCCATTCATTCTTGAAGCTCACTGAGTCATTTTGGTCCCGTCTCTGCTTCTCAGCATATCCTGCCTCACAGGTTTGCGGAGAGAATAAAATGGAGCCACTTCGAATTCCTTGCCAAGATGAGACAAGGCAGGATTTCTGTAATGCAATCATGGTAACAACATCTGCCCAGGTTTCTAGCAAAACACAATGTACAATCCAGGGCATGTTTACTCAGAAATAAGACCCCGGGATTTTACGGAGGGTTCCTCTCAGGAAAGTACGTACAGCATTTCAGCCAAATTAATCGCACAGCTGCGGTTTCCACTTGTTGGTGTCCACGCACTATTGGTGCAACGCTGCAATCTGGATGTGCAATCATTCACAACGGCATCAAGAACCCTTTTGTGTGGCGTTCCTCAATGGGGGGAACCAAGCGCATCATTCAGACACCATCCCAAAAGAAAGCACGATCGGAGTGCAGCTGGATTGCTTCTTTGCCATGATACGCACAGGAGAGCAGTGCAGGAGATCCGGATTAATTCGGATGCGCTGCCGATGCTCAGAATCCCAGTGCCTGGTTCCTCATTCTTCCCTGTTTACAGAATTTACTAAGAGGAGAAGCACAACGCAAAGTAGAAAGCCAAATATCAAAGGGGTTTAATGCACGTATCTGTACTTTTGTCAGGTTACGGACCTCCTGGTGGATGAGTCCAGCTTCACAGGGGAAGCGGAACCCTGCAGTAAGAAGACTGGCATCTTAGCAGAACCCGGGGATTTTATGACCCTCAGCAATGTCGCATTCATGGGAACGCTTGTGCGATACGGCAAGGGGAAAGTGAGTGGCAAAGAATGTCCTTCCACTCCTCTCTCGCAGTCTTTTATGAAAGGGCATCTTCTGTCTTCGTAACCCTGTGTTTTGATACCAAGTTCTCCGACACAAGGCTGAGGAACTGCTGTGTCTGCTTTCAGTTTTGTCCCACAGGTCTGCGCTCTGCACAAAAGCCCTTTCTTTCCTGTCATTTCCACTGCATAACCCCTAGGTGGCACTGTGGTGCTGCAGAATAATGCACTTACACTAGTTGCAAAAAATGTTTTCTTCCACTTTTATAAAAAATACTTCATTTTTCCGTCTTTAAAAAGCCTGGGGAAGCAATCTCTGCAAACACCGCTGTGCCATTCTCCTCCATTGCAGTTCTGACCCAGTTCACTCTCCCTTGAATCGACAGAAGAACACAGCTCTTGTCACCGTGAGCCTGTGAGAGCCCTTATGGAATCGATCTGTGTCTTCCTATTTAAATCCTAGGAAGAATGCAAAGTTATGCAGACCTTGAGAACCTAGGCAAGAAGTCAATGTTTTTGGTATTCTTCTGTCCTTTTTTCCCACTCAGGGCATCGTCATTGGAACAGGCAAAAGCTCACAGTTTGGGGAAGTGTTCAAAATGATGCAAGCAGAAGAGGTAAGAAGAGGGGGCAGAGAAAGTGAGCAGAAAGGAAATGTTCTCTCTGCTTGGAAAATGCAAAGTTTATCTGAGAATTTCTCCTTCTTTAGAATGGACGGCCAGGGGGGTCTTTATGTGCCCCGGATGTCATGTTGTTTGGGGAGTTCTAGGTGGAAAATGAGCAGCTGCCCCCCAACAAAACCAAATGGCTGCTGTTCTCTTTATGTCACGGTAGCAAAGCCTGCAGAAGGGTTTAGTTAAGCTGGGTTTTATTGCACAAGGTATCCATGTATCCCCTTGTGTAAACAGCATCAGCCCAACAGCCTCTCATGCCTTTTGGGAAAGACCAGTTGAGCTGACCAGACTTGCTGTCTTCCTGCTTTCTGGGTGGCTTTAGTCTCTCCTTGCCTCCCAGTCAAGGATTTTGCTTGCTGTCCATTTCTTTTCCCATTGCAATGACTTTAGCAGGACTTTCAGTGTTTTGTAGCATGTGAGGACAAAGATAATTCCTTTACAAAGGGAGATCTTATTTTCTCTAGGATGGATGCTCCAGGATAGCACAACATCTAGGACATACTGAACAGTTGGAGATACCACAGGGATTCCTAACAGCAGGAATACGGCTCCCTATATCTCTCCAAGACCCTGTTAGCCTTCAGGGGCAGCGATTAGGGGTGGACCTAGAGCGAGAGCACAGCCTTCTGCAGGCTAGACGAAGAGTCACTGTGGGCTGGATCAGGCCCATTGTCTGGGCATTATGTCCCCTTCTTGTAAGCTACCTTCCAGAGGGCCAACCGTTGATTCTGCCTTAAGAGTCTTTCCTTCCTTCCCCTTTTCTCCTTCTGGATTAATGCACCAAGACCCCCAAGACCCCGCTGCAGAAAAGCATGGATAAATTGGGAAGGCAGCTGACTCTTGTTTCCTTCATCATCATTGGTGAGTTTAACCAGATGTATCCAATAAGCCATTCCCTGCGTGAGGAACAAGCAATTTTCCAGGGCAAGGAAGCCCTTGTTGCAGGAAACAGAGAAACAGAGCAAGTCAGAAGGGGTCTCCCAGGCCATCTAGTCTGACCCCCGGCTCCAGCTGGCTCCACTTATGACATGCCCACCAGGGGCATATCTAGCCTATCCTTGAACTAGTCTCCCAGTTTTGCAGTCTAGACTCAGATTCGGTCCTCCGGTCTGCATCACTTCTTTCCCCATGCACATACAAAGACACATGTGCAATCACACACACACACTGAGATTGCAAGAGCAGCCCAGCACCTAATGAGACGCCAGATGGTGAGATGCTCTCTATGGCTTGTGTTTTTTCCAGGTTTACTCATGCTGATTGGTTGGCTGCAAGGAAAGCATCTTCTTGGCATGTTCACCATTGGAGTGAGGTAAGAAGTGGGAAGAGCTCCTTCCCAGGTGAACAGAGAGAGAACTAGACAGAACGAGAACCAAACACGCTGCTCTAAATATGGCACCATCCAGACCTCAAGTCAAAATAAGGTTGAAATGCCTTTTGACTTATCTTAGTAACGTGATAATTACATAAATATCTCAAGAGGTTCTGCCTTGCTCTGTGTGTCCGTCCTCATTCCCTGAGGTCTGAGTGCTGAGGCACGGAGTGGAGCCTTCAGAGTTGTGACATGCATATTCTGGGATCGTCGACCTAGAGTAAGAATGAAGAATTTCTGGTCCACAGGTGCCACTGGGCCTCCCCATCTGGCCCAGGGAGTGCTGTCCCCTGGAAGAGTCCCCAGCCGAGAAATTCCACAGTCATCTCTGGTTGTAGATTGGGGATACCAGCAGCAGCATGGACAGCAGTAGACTCTGTGTGGAAGGACCCCAAGTTCCACTATTATTATTATGAGGGGCCTGATATATGCATCAAGGTCCCAAAAACAGGCATCAGACCCCTCACCTCTTTTTCCTTCCCTCACACTTGTAGAAACTGGGCTCACTCCGTTGGCATTAGAACCAGGACAGAAAAAAGAATTAGTCTACCCGCAAATCAGAGTCCATGCATAGAGGTGCCCAATCAGTCAGCTTTCCCAAGGCCTTGGCAAGCCATGCTTAGCAGGAGCCATCAGGGGAGGACATTCCAGAAAGTTGGCACCACAGCCAAAAAGGCCCTGCTTCTAGGAGACGTCTGCCCAAGTTCATATGGAGCAGGTGTTCTGATGCTGAGCAAAGCAAAAGAGAGGCAAGCTTGGGGCAAAGGGGCTGGACCAAGTGAGTATCCGTACAAGAGAGAGTGGCCACAGTTGGGGGTAAATGCCTCTCTGTGTGCAGCTTGGCAGTGGCAGCCATCCCCGAGGGCCTCCCCATTGTGGTCACCGTGACACTGGTCCTGGGCGTCTTGAGAATGGCCAAGAAACGCGTCATCGTGAAGAAGCTGCCCATCGTAGAAACTCTAGGTAAGGCAAGCCTGCTTGATAGCAGAGGAGGCAGTCGCTGCGCTGAAGCGAAGCAGGGCTGAGACCGGTCAATACTTGGAGGGGAGACCACTGGGAAGTGCCCGCCACCCCCTTGAGCGCCACAGTTCAGGAACGGTGGGACAGAAATGAAATGAAAGAAACAAAGCCGGCCACATGGGTGGAAGCCTTTACATCTGGCTAACCTTGGGGTTGATTCCACTGGAATCCCAAGAATCTAAGCAAAGCTGAGCCACTTGTGGCCCTCCAGAGGTTGCTGGACCATAATCCTCATAACCCATCCCCGTTGGCCATGGTGGCTCACAAGAACTGGCAGGAATTGCAGTCTGATGGCATCCAAAGACTTAAAGTCATCCCATTTTTGGCTAAGAACGCCCAACAAACTTACCAGCAGGTTGGGGAAGATGGGTGGGGTAGTGCAACACACCTAGAGGGTGCCCGAGGCTGGGGAAGGCTGGTGCACAGGGTACAACTCTGGCTCCCTGGCTCTCATTCCAGATGGAGGTGGTGGGGTGGGGTGGAGGAGAAGCAGGAGGCTCCCAGGAGCCCCAAGGTGCCTCCAATTTCAGGGCTGGGTGCCAAGGCACACCTGTGCCTGAGGAACATGGGTGGGTGAATTCTGTTGCACTCGCGGCTGCTAGTGGGTTTCTTGCAGCCAATGTGACAATTCTGGGTTTGGAAGACCGGTCCGACTTCTGGGCTCGTCTATGTCTGTATAAGGGAATTTTCATGGGGTGACCTCTAAGCACGGGACGCTCTCTTGGGTTGTGGGGCTACACGTGGCATAGCCTTCCCAGTGCTGTACCCTGTCTGAGTGCTAGTGGTAGAAAGGAGGCAGAGGAAGGACAGAGAAGATGCAGCTGATGAATGGAATTCACCACCACAGGCTGGAGGAGATGCACAGACTTCCTGAAGGCATCTGGGTGGGTTGTGAGAAACCAGATAGAAAGGACACCCAAGCATGCCTGTGAGATGGGCCAACCTCTTTCCTCTTCACAGGCTGCTGTAACGTCATCTGTTCCGACAAGACGGGGACCCTGACCGCCAATGAGATGACAGTCACTCAGCTCGTAACCTCAGATGGATTCAAGGCAGAGGTATGGCCGGCCCTGGGGCAAAGCCGTAATTTGTCATTCCGGGCAAACTTCACCCCATAAGCTTCCTCAGCCACTTTCAGTTTTATTGCTTGGCTGTGTTGCAAGCTTTTATGAATGCTTATTCTGGATTTTTATTCTCCAAGGTGAGCGGGGTGGGATACAGTGGGGAAGGAAATGTCTGCCTCCTGCCATCCAAAGAAGTCATCAAAGAATTTTCTAACATCTCCGTGGGAAAACTAGTGGAGGTAAGGTATTTGCTTGTATTAACATCGAAATAACATTGTGGGCGTTATTTCAACACGATGTTGTCTTGTTGTTGTTATGGAGGGATATGAGAGTGAAGACAGACATCCCGTGTCTGGAGGGCTGTCCTGGAAGCACAGGACAATTTTTTGTCCTAAGGTGATTCGTAGAAAATATTCTGGAAGTCTTTTCAGCACGGTAAAGCTTCAGAAAGGGCATCCGAGCTGTGCATGTTCTCTACTGCCTGGGAACTTAGCCACCAGCTCTCTTCCCCAATCCCTGGAGTAGAAAGCCCTCCGTCCCCAGTTCCAATCCCTTTTGAGAGCAACACCCCCCATGCAACGTGATTCAGCTAAGAAAATACATTTTCTAGTGCAAAACAGACCAATGGACTCTTGGAAGCTGGGAGGTAGGTCCAGGGCGGTAGACGAGAGGTCCAGGGCGGTCGCCGGGGCCTTTGAGCTTTCTTTGACCCAGACAATCGTGCTGAGCCTCAACCGGGGCTGAACTTCAGTATTCGATTCCACCACATCTTTTCTCACTTCTCCTTCATGCTCCTTGTGCCCCTGGATCTATTTCAGGCTGGCTGTGTGGCCAATAATGCAGTTATCCAAAAGACAACCGTGATGGGGCAGCCGACGGAAGGAGCCCTGATAGCCCTGGCAATGAAGGTAGACTCATTTTCACAAGCCCAGGGCTTATTCGTTTTGCATTCATAGGGTTCTGTTTCATTTAATGAATAACTCGTTCCATGTGGTTAAATGGAAGGGGAAAGAATTCAACGTGCAACTGTTCTAGCAAGCAGCCAATGGAGAATTGGACCAGAAGGTGAGTTGCATTATAAGCACAAGGCCGTTGGAGAGCAGGTTGACCTGGAAGCATTGGCATGGTTCCAAGAACAAATTTAGGCTTAAGTAAACATGCCAAGTGGAATTGTTGATTTGGGATTTCCCCCCTCCCCTTTCAATGGTTGTATCATAAAAATGTGTGGCTGTTTTTTAACCTCCTTTTCAGAAATTTGAAATCAGACAAGCTGATACTGTTAGGATTCATTTTTTTAACAGAGGAGTGATTAATGGGCTGTTTTGGTTGATTGTTCAGTGGTTCATTACTGAGTTGAGATGGTCTTCAGCTAAGCTGGAGATCCCTCTTGAGGATTTCAAAGAGGACGGCCCCTGGAGCTTGGAGGAGGCGGCATTCTTCCAGCAGATGGAAAGGGAGCAAGCCTGAAAGAAGGAGAGGGTGGGAGCTGGAGGAGGAGGAGGAATTTGAAACTTGGAAAAGAAAGCTGCAGTGGTGGGAGGAGGCATGAATTCTGGAAAAAGGCCCAGGGGCAGTGCAGGCTTTCTCTGTGGGGATCTGTGGTCAGCTGTCTTTCCAGAGTGCTGTGTGTTGCTGTTGAACCACAAGCTCCTGTTGAAATGTGTGTCATCGTGTTGCCCGAAGACAGCCAGCCTAACAAGCCATGTTTGTTAACCACAAACAACCCATGAAGATTACCCATGGTTTGTTGTTGGGTCATGAACTATGGATTGTTCACCATGGTGTGTTATTTCTGCTGGTTCAGACAACATAAGGTAAAAACCACAGTGAACAAACCATGGGTTCTTCACAGGTCATCACTTGCTGGTGTGGCTGGATTCGGATAACCCACACTTCAGCAACAAGCCACACTCAACCTCTACTTAGCTCTTGAGCATGGGTCATTGTGATGTGTCTCGCTTGACCATGCATAACTTTCTACGAAGGATTTGCAGTCTCAAACCAAGGGCTATTCCAACATAAGCCATTTCTGCAAAGAAGTAACAATTCTCCTAGGTTCCTTCACAAAGAAATCAAACCTTACCCTACAGGCAAATGGAGTGTGTTTCTCAGTGACTCATATCCAGAAAGTCATTTTTCAAAAGCTAGATGGAACAAGTTCAAAAAGTCTTTACATTCAGCAGTTGAGTTTCTGCCTTTTTTTTTCTTTTGGTGCAATTCTTTTCTAGTTCTACCACTAAAATATATCACCAATTCTAAAGTACTCACATCATCTCTCTCTCCTTCTGCCCCCCTTTTGGTTGGTTTTAGATGGAATTGAGAGAGAGAAAAGATATTTATATCAGAAAGAAGGAGATTCCATTTAGCTCCGAGCAGAAGTGGATGGCTGTCAGATGTGCTCTGAAAAATCAGGTACAAGAAAGCAGCTGAATTGTTATTCTCTGTAGAACAAGTTATGAAAAGGTGAGATAATAATTCACTGTAGGAACCTGTTCAGATGAAAGGCATGGCTGGCCACTTTCTCTCACCCTCCTGCCAAGAAGCTGTATCTTATCCTCACAACAACCCTGAGAGGTAGGCTGGGCTCAGAGGGATTTAATGACTGAGTCCCAATCGCCAGATCAGCTTACTGGCTAAGTGGGCCTTTGAACCTGGACCTAGAGACCACGCTGGCTCTGGTGCTAGGAAGTTAAACACATTCCTGTCTTTTGATGTCACTCTTTGAAAGGGGGGCATTAAACTGGAGGGCCAAACTCAGCTTTGAGGAAGGGCTTGGGAGCTGAAGGCAGAAGGGGACTGCACCAAAAACACCAAAATATTTTAGTTAGACCTCCTGCAGCCAGAAACAAAGATTCAAGAGAGGCATTTAACCCTGTAGAATCAACCACCAAGAAAATCACCCAGAGAGATTAGACTTTGGGTGATTCAGAAATGAAATAAACAGTAACAGCAAATAGTTAACCACCAAACAATTGGCAGTCAGTGGGGAAGGAACCGCAGCCAAACAGACCTGCGATTCAAATAGCACAGCCCTCCGAAGGTTTCTTTAATCCACTTCCTTGTTTCCTAGGGCCCAGAAGAAATCTATTTCATGAAAGGGGCGTTTGAAGAAGTGATGGAGCATTGCACTATGTTCAACAGCGGCGGCCTTGCCCTCCCGCTGACACCGCAACAGAGAGCAGTCTATGCTCAGGAGGAGAAGCGCATGGGATCGCTCGGCCTGCGGGGTCAGTCTGCCGCCACAGCTCACGCTGCCCCAACCCATGGTTAAGTCTGCTCTCGGTCAACAAGCTGGCTCTCGGAGCACCCACGCTTCCACGTTGGTGCCCTGTGTTGCACTTCCGGTCCCGGGCAGCAGCCGGACGATGTGCTTGTTTCAGAACCACTCTTCCCAAGTGCATTCTGCCTTTGCGACCTCTTTCTCCTGATGCCCAAGCCTGCCGTGTCCGCCTCCCCACGCGTCCGAGGCGTGGGCACCGTGTCAAGTGACCCAAACGCTTCTCGTCCTCTTCCATTTTTGCGCCAGGATTCTCCTAGCTGGGGCTTCCATTAAGAGCACCCAAGAATACAAGAAGGCATTATATGATCGCACTCCTTTAGGTGCTCGCTGGGTGACTTGGGGTAATCAGTGACTCTCAGCCAACTTAGCTCGCGGGTTGCTGAAATGGAGAGGAGACAGAGCGGGAGCTGCCCTGCAGGAAGGAACTGGGACGTGCACATGGTGGGCATGTCGTGAGCGGAGCCGGCTGGAGCCGGGGGGTCAGACTAGATGGCCCAGGTGACCCCTTCTGACTCGCTCTGTTTCTATGTTTCTAACTGGGGTATCAATATGAGGGACACGCCGATAAAACTGGGTGGGCAGCACATTGGAAGCTCGTGCAGTTGCTGTCGGACTAACAGAGCATGGTCTACCAAGTGCCCAGGAGAAAGAAGTCTGGTTGCCCCATTTTGCACAACTGCAGGTTTCCGGACACCCTGCGGTGGCAACCCCGTGCAAAGAGTGCCCTTTGCACAGAGCATCTCCCGGCTCACTGTGTCTTTCTCTGCTGCCTCCTCTCCCTAGTGCTCGCGTTGGCCTCTGGACTAGAACTTGGCAGCCTCACCTTTTTGGGTCTGGTCGGAATAATTGACCCCCCGAGGCATGGAGTGAAGGACGCGGTCCGAGTCCTCATTGAGTCAGGGGTATCTGTGAAAATGATAACCGGAGATGCTCTGGAAACAGCCTCGGCCATCGGTGAGCTACATCAAGGGTGTGTCCCCGTGCATGTGCGACAGAAGGAGGTTCCTACAGTTCCCAGAATGCCCTAGCCATCCTTGCAGGATGAGTGTGCATTCATATATAAACATATTGTTCCCCAAGTCTCAGTCCGGTCAGTCATCTTGGGACGTCCAGTTCCTGGGCAATTAGGTGCTTAAACAGATGTTGAAAACTCTTCCCACAAGCTGAAGGACTTGCAGCCATGGCAGGCAGTTGCTGTGGCTGGGAAGTATTCACTTTTTTAACTAGAAAAATGCTGATGATGGAGGTTTTCCTCTTGCTCCTTTTCCCCCGGAGCCGTTTCATTTTCAGCCTTACCAGCCATAAAAGAAGAAATGACAAATGTCTCACAAGAGAGAACAAATGCATTATAAGGGTGCGATGCTACGCATGTTTAGACAGGGGGAAAAATCTACTGTGGGACTTTTTTCTGCCATGCTTAGGACTGCACCCTCAGTAAGTTGCACAGAGCGTCTTTGAAAAGCTACCTTTGCTGTTCTTTCCTAGGCTGTGTTAGGCATTTTGGATGCACCTTACACAAGTTTGTTCCATTCTTTCACTTAAGAAAGGTGGCTTTAGAACAAGAGTGCTCGTTGCAAGGAATTGTCAAGCTGCCCCTCTTGCAGAAACGGATTTCACCAGATTTTAGAGTTGGAGGGCATCTAGTCCAGCCCCCGCTTCATGAAACTCTTACCTGTGGGCGTCTCTAAAAGCTGGCCATCCAGCAAAAGAGAACCCAGCTCCATGGACCACTTGTTCCATTACGAAAGGGCTCTCACCATGAGAAAACTTCTCCTAAGATGTGGCCAACTTCTATCTCCATGCAACTCCCAAGCTAACCCTAGACCTTCCCACTGGAGCAACCAAGCACTTGTCTGTGCCATCTTCTGCACGGTGGCTGTCCAGATAATTTGAGGACTGCTCTCAGTTCTCTCCTTCATCTTGCCCTCACTGGGCTAAACATAGACAGCTCTTGCAGCTGTAGGACCTGGTTTAATGGGATGCTTCTTGCAGAGCTCTGGCCAATTACCTGGCCTTGGTTGCGATCAGGGGTGTTGAACCCCTTCAACCTGGGGGTGGACCTCTAAGTAGGAGAAGCTCTTGCAGGCCGAATACTAGTGGTGGGAAGGGCCGAATGCAGCTGAGGCAGGGCCAAAGTACCAAAACATCCCAGCAGGGGAGAGGAACTGCAAAACCCAGAAAACCACCCAATATCTCCAGCCCCTGGTTGAGGTGAACAGCCATGCTGTGCTTCTTTTTCCTTTGCAGGACAGAGTATTGGTCTCTGCAATGGGAGAATGAACACTATGTCTGGAGAAGAGCTGGAGAACATCGCGGACTCGGCATTATCGTCCACCGTGAAAAACGTAACGGCTCTAAAAAGATTGGTTTGGAGCACGTGGTGTGGGTTGTTCTCCCAACAGCCAGCATCTCACGTCCATTTGCTTTCTCTCATCATCCAGGTTTCCATCTTCTACCGTACCAGTCCAAAACACAAACTTAAAATCATAAAGGTACCTGCTGACCCACAAGCTAGAGGTGCCCTCGCGTCTTTGCCTGGAGTAACGGGATCTGCTTTTGCTCCATGGTGGTGCTTCTCATCTGTCCACTTGCTGTAAATCAGGGTGGAGAATCTCAGGCCAACCAATTAGATCAGGCCCGTAGGGGCCCTGATCTGTCCCTCTGGAGTCCCTTAGATGGCTACACCCCTTCTCCTGGCCCAGCCCCCTTTCCTCCAAAGGCCAATTGTTTGGTGGTTTCCTGCTCCGCTCCTCCAGTGGAGGCTGGTGGAATCTGTGTCAGTGAGAAGCTGCCCATGGCGCTCAATCCTAGTCCTGAACTAGGTTCAGAACCCTGGAGAGCTCCTTTACAGTTCAGGCTGAAGTTCAGGGTAGATGGACCACCCCACTAATTTTGCAGGCACTGCTCTTTTCCCTTTCTACATGTGGAAGTGCCACTCTTAGTTACGAGCAGGCAGAGCTCTGAATTAAAATACAGTGGCATCTTGGCCCTGCCCCCTTTGCCCTTGGCCGCACCCACACTGGAATGGCACTCCGGACCCCATCCTCCTGCGAACATCTCTGGATCCATCCCTGCTGCTCAAGAGGGTTCCACATTCCCTCTCTAAAAGATACTTCCGTTATAATTGTGTGTTCCTTTCTGCAAAAGAGGACAAAGGAAGTACCTCAACTCACTCTGGGCACAATTCTTTGCTGGATATTTGCTGTAAATAAGTGGATTTCTGTTTCTGGCCGTTTTTGTAAGGAGGGCAGAAGAAACAGCTGTTCCAAGTCTCCAGTTCCACTTGCTGTGCTCATAATACGTCTCTTAGCAATCACAAAATCAGACCAACATTGAGCAATGGCTGGGAACGTGCCGTTCCTTGTTCCTTTGTAGTAGGTTTTGATCTGGCAATAAAAGGTTTACTGAGATAGGCTGACCCTACCTGTTGAATTTCTCTCTCTCCAGCCCCCACCCTCCTCACACACAAGCAATACCACACCCTTTCTTTGCCCTTTCTTTCTCCTGGGATAGAAATGATCCCTGTTCTGGCTGTTGCTGCTTCCATGGGTCGCCATTTTCACCATCGGTGAGCAATCACAACCGTTTCTCACCCACTCGCATCCTCGACAATTGGATTACGGAGCGCTTTGTCACACCCACTTGTCTATCGTGTGTTGCAATGATCCTTCAAGCAGTGATCAAATCGGGGCATTTCTTCATTTCAGCTCGGCCAGGTGAGGGCCCTGATGGGTGGAGCAGGGACAGTTATGGCTTCAAGGGAGATTGTGCATGAGCCGTCTAAACGTGGCTGTGTGGAAACATGTCCTTACATTAAAACAGGCCGAGGGGTTTCATTCTCCCCCAGTTTCAGTTCCAACATGGTTTCAGCTGAAATGATCGATGCTTCTGAAAACTCCCTCGAAACCCCCAATAGTACTGCAGGGTGAATGTAATGCACGCAGCCAAATTATGATTCATATCACTGATTATTACTAATATACGATCGTTCTATTCCTGTGAATGTTCCATGGATCCTGAAGTTAGGCTGTTGCGTCGGTCCTTTCCGCAGGCGTTGCAGCAGGCTGGGGCCATTGTGGGCATGACCGGGGACGGGGTGAACGACGCGGTGGCGCTGAAATCGGCCGATATCGGGGTTGCGATGGGACAGGCCGGCACCGACGTGAGCAAGGAGGCTGCGAACATGATCCTCGTGGACGACGACTTCTCGACCATCATGTAGGGGTCCTCCTGGGGGTGATGCTGAGAGGGGTTTCATAACTGCTTTGGTCATCTCTCTTAGACTTGCAAAAATTTGACTGTCGGGCAAAGCAACCTGCAAGGAGTGAGTTTTGGAACTCGCCGTAAAATGTGCATTCTTCGTTAGGCATGTTTGCCCCAGTGCGCAAGGAATTCCACAACTGGAGGGCCACCACCATGAAGGACCCATCTCTCCTGCCCAGTGGCTGATTTAACTTTTGATTCAGGCCTACAAGAAGGGTTTCGAGAATGCCAGGGCATGTTTGCACAGGAACGGGTCAGGATGCAGAATTGCATGCTATGGGCCAAATCCTGGCTGTCTGGAGCACTGCCCCCTTTCCCTGGACCCATGCCGCTTTCCTGGCTGCCAGTTGTTTGGTGGTTTCAACAGCTTCTGCAGTTTTCTTGTCCCACTAAAAGTCTGAAATGCTTCGTCATCAGCTTAGTTACTGACCATGACAACGTTAAGGTAGAATACACCAGTACTGGGGATATTTTGACCCTGGCTGTCTACCTGTTTACCTGTCATGGAAGGCATCCCTTGAGAAATTCTCCAAAACTGAATTCAGCCCTTAAAAGCAAAATTGGAAATTCCACCAAAGCATGAATGATTTTAAGCAACATTGCTCCCTTCTTTCCCTACAGGAACGCCATCGAGGAGGGGAAAGGAATATTTTACAACATTAAAAATTTTGTTCGATTTCAGCTCAGCACGTAAGTCGCTAGTTGGCTTAAGTCAAACAAATGGGAGATGAGGGCGATGTATCAATTTACTCAGCCTCTGCAGCAGGCAAGAAATCTCGCCAGAAAGCTATTCCGTCAAAAGAATTTCCATGCCTTTCCTGTGTTGGAGTTCTTTAAACTCCTAATCAAATTCCAGCCAAGAATGCTGCTTGTTTTTTTCCAAGTAATGCTCAGATCTACACAAAATAATAGCACGATCTCTCACCCACTTCTTTTATATGCTAAGCGAATGGCATTCTTGTTCCATTCGGGTTTGGATTGGGAAGCAGAATGAGTGGATTCTTTGCTTCTTTGGAGAGCCACCCTGTGCTCCGACCTTGGAAACTGGGATCTGAACTTGGATCCTTGCCTGCTGCTTGCAGCCGGCATGGAAACAACTGTGCTGACAGCTCCTTCAAGGTCGGAAAAGCAACCCCGGAGAAGAGATAAAGGGGGTAGGGAGCGGGACTGGGGGACAGGGCTGCCAGGTTATGAGCTACCCCAATCACACTCCAGCCTCTTTCCCGTCCTGTCCAAAGCACTCCAGCCAGATGACTGGAACCGGTCAGCTAGCTATCTTTCCTCCCACTCTGCCTAGGTCTCTGAGGATGCCCGTAGGTCAATGCACCCTCGGCAGTCTTGATTTCTCACGATCTTTACCTTTTCCTTCGCTAACTTAACTTCGAAACGGGCAAACAGGTCTATGGAATGACAGAGCAGGGCAGGTGGTTTCATTTCATTCCTCAATTTGCTCTTGGCAGGAGCATCTCCGCCCTAAGTCTCATCACGCTGTCGACGGTCTTCAATCTGCCGAATCCACTCAATGCCATGCAGATTTTATGGATTAATATTATCATGGACGGGCCCCCAGCTCAAAGGTGAGGACACGAATGAGAAGATTAATGGGGAGTGTGTGTTGCAGGGGGGAATCCAATGCTGTGGCATTTCCAAATCAGAAATAGGTAAATATCAGGGCCATGTTCAGCTTTCAATATCCTTGTTTCAGAATGCCCAGAGCTGGGTAGATTTTTTTTTTTAATTTCCATGGCACCAAATAACTCCAAATAGACCTAGAAGATACCTCAAATGCCCAAAATATCTCAAAGTGAGCTGATGTCAGATCTGTTTGGGGGGGGGGTATCCATGGACCCCGTCCTGCTGTGTCCCTCACCTGCCCTTTTCATATCACCTGGGGACCCCCTGTGGACTATGAATTGCAGAGGAAAGGTACACAGCCATTCAATCTGTACTAATAAAACAATGGGTCTCTTTTTGGGGCTGGGGAACAGTTTGGGTGTTGAACCAGTGGACAAAGATGCCATCAGGCAGCCTCCGAGAAAGGTCACAGACACAATCCTCAGCAGGTCACTGGTCCTGAAGATCTTCTTGTCGGCCGCTATAATCATCAGTGGAACCATTTTTGTCTTTTGGAAAGAGGTAAGGCGAGCTCACAGCCCAATTTACCCAAGCTAAGCATTCCTTAGGAGAAAGCTCTTTGGTCGCTCCTGTCAAAGTTTTATTGGTATCGAACTTTTTGCAATGGACTGAAAGGGACACTTTATCTAGAACACGCCTCCTTTATCTAGAGCGTGCGTAGGATATAGGACATAGGAAGACATAAATCACAGATTCAGAGCCATGAATGCATGTGTCCTGCAAGATCAGACCAAGGAGTCTATCTTCTCATGGCTGGCCAGGTAGATGTCTCAAAGTTTCCCAAAGCAGGGAACCTTCCTGCAACCTGAGAAGAGCTCCAAAGGTTTGGGATGGTTTGGGATGTCAGCTCCCATCAGTGTCACAGCATGGCCAATACCAGGAATGCTGGAAGTTGCGATCTAAAGCATAAGGACATAAGAATGTAGGAATCTACTTTATGCTAAGCCAAAAGCCTTCATCCTTTTAGTCCAATGTTGCCCACACTGACTGGCAATGGCGCTCCAAGTTTTCAGTGGGAACCCTTCCTAAGTACCTGGAAATTCCAGGAACTGGACCGGTGCTTTACCGCTGGGCCACAGACCCTCCTGTTCCTTTCATTCAATGGCTGCATGTGGACATCATGATGAACTATGACTTATGACTGTGAATCAGCCAGTCATCTCCCTAGGCTTATGGGGTGACCCTCCCAAAACCTCCTACAGGACAGCTATGAGGCACCTTCACTTTTGACATCAACTACCCTCAGTTCAGCATTACATCCAAAGCCTAAACTGTGGGTATTGGCAACCATGATTCAATATTGCCAGCATCATAAACCATAGTTTGACCTTCGGTTGTTTTAAATTAGTCCTTGTTAACATTAACTAGTGAGGTGTTCAGATGCTTAAGAGATGTTTTTATGGAAACAAAAACAAATCATAGAATTTCAAATTTGGAAAGAACCTCCCTGGCAGTTCCTTGCTGGAGAATGCAGCAGCCTCCAATCCGCTGCTTGAGTCCATCCAAAAAACGAAGATGGAAGGAACAGAGAGAGAGGCACGGTTGCAGAGGGAAGATGATGTTCCCCGAACCTCCCGTGGAATTCCAAGAATGAGTAGGGCAACTGCGTGGTGGAAGCCTCACGTGCCGACATCTTCTGATGTTCCACAGAGCAACAACAATCCCGCACACACACACACACACATGATGCAGCAAAGCTGCCTTGCAATAGCACACCTCGTTTTACCTTTCTCTGCACCAGACCTGGCTTTTAACAGCCATTCTTGCAGCCTGTCCATCATTGGCTGTAGATTTTCAGCCATGTGTCCAAATCCTGGCTCTCCAGTGTGTCTAATCTTTCCTTTCAGAGAAGAAAGGGGACTTTTCAAGGTGGCAGTGACTTTATAAACAAAAGGTTCATTGTACGACTGGACTGCTGGATGGGAAAGTTGACTTTGCAAATCTCCAAACATCCACACAATCTCTCTCCCCCCCCCCCCCCGCCCTTCTCTCTGTGTTTCTGGCAAATGAATTGTGTCGCTTGTATTCCCAGATTCCAGAAAGCGGCATAACGCCACGCACGACAACCATGACTTTCACTTGCTTTGTGTTCTTTGACCTCTTCAACGCCCTGACGTGTCGCTCCCAGGTGAGAAAAGCCAAGAAAGGGCTCAGTCTGCTGGCAAAGAAAACTCAAAGTACGCGTCAAGCAGGAGTACGAACAAAGCTTCCTCATAGGCGGGCGCAGCCCTGGAACATCTTCAGGGCAATTGACTCATCGCGTTTCTCTTTGATCAAGCGCCACATGCATGGATGGCCTTAACGTTCTGCCCCCACCCCTTTAAGAATAGCATCTCGCAGAAGCCAGGTCAATCATCCCTCTGAAGCTACTCTCTCTTCTCCCACCCCTCAGATGACAGCTGCTATTGGCTATATTTCAGCCAGTAGTAGCTCTCTCCGTGTGCCAAGAGAGCAACTGGGAACAGGGCCCAGTAAACGGTTTCATACAGAGTGTAGCATAAATCCAAGGGTTGCCCCCTTCCGAGCCCATTCCCAGGCACTGCAGCCCAGCCTGGGGGCGAGGGGGAGGGGGAAATATGTGGAAGTTGCAACTCCCAAACCTAAATGCAAATGGGAATGCAGTAAAATGCAGACACTTCCAAAGTTTGCAGTTTGGTTCACACGCACACAAAAGCTTGAAAAAATGCAGCGTTTTGTTCATTAGAAACATGCTTTGAAGTGTCTACATCTGCAGAAGTGCATGCAATGGTTTTTAAAAGGGCATGTTAAAATCTACAGATTTCCCTTGCAGGAAAACCTATTTGGCATGGAAGCTAAAACGGCTTGGCCTCTTTGCTCATCCCTACGCCTGACAAAGTGCACATTCTGTTCCGGGCTACTCTTATTTTTAAAGTGAACATCGAACAGTTTAAAAGCATTCCCCAAGTCCAGTCTTTGATGCTTTCCTTGCGGAAAACAAGGTGGTGCCCTTTCCCCTTCTAGCTACGAAAGCCAACTGGGCCACCAATTAACTCTCTGCCGAGTCCTGGGGATGGGACAGCATCCTCCCCAACGCCTGAAGGCAAAAGGCTGGCTTAGGGGGCACGGCAGTCTGCCCCACTTTAGTGCCACTTCCCAGCACCTATTACCCGCGGTGGTCGGGCTGCTCCCTGCATTCATCCATATGCCAAATTGCCAGTTTGCCCAAGAGCTGCTTTGGGTATCAAAGGCTGGATTCATGTGGGAGACACTGATATCACGATGAAGTATCCCCTCCACCCCGCTCTTTCTCTTCTTTCCCCTCAGACAAAACTGATCCTGGAAATTGGCCTTTTCCGAAACCGCATGTTCTTATATTCCGTCCTGGGGTCTATTTTGGGTCAGATGGCTGTCATTTACATTCCCCCATTACAGAAGGTCTTCCAGACGGAGAATTTAGGGGCACTAGGTAAGTCCGCTAGTGGGAAGAGGACTGGATGCTCTTGGGGGGTTGGGGTTACCAGCATGCCATCAGCAGGCTGAATGACATCACTGGGCGTGGCCACACCCACAATGTGCCATCATCACATGATGTCATCCTGGCCCACCAGCTCCCCTCCCAGTTTGGCCTTTCTCCATGCCGAGAGCTCCTGCAGCTTCAAACCCCCTCCGAGCCCCTCGTGCCCTGGATCCCTGCTCGTGGCTCTGATTTAAGGTCAGGAATGATGGGGATACGGTCTTGACAGTTCATCTTGTTTTTATAGAATGGTTTCACATGTTCCAATGGTTTTACATTTTGTGCAGTGGAGTTTTACACTGTGCTTTATTGTATCTGTATTTTTGTTCCATTGGTTTTTGTTACTGTTCTTATGATAAATTGTGAGTCGCCCAGAGAACGTTGGGTATTGGGTGGTACAGAAATAAAATTAATATGAATAATGGGGGGGTTTGTGGGGGGAACTCTGGCAATAGCTTCTGGGATTCTAAGGCTTCCTCCCCCTCCAAAAAGAGCAAGAGGGTATGGTTTTGTGGTTTTTAAACTTGAGAGCAAGGGCAAATACAACTGCCTCCTCTTGAAAAATTGGATCGAATTCTGCTCTTCTAAACAGCTTCACTCCTGCCTAAAACGATGCCATTTTCTTGTTGGCATGGTGTGCCCTGACTGGTTGTTGCCCATGTCTCTGTCTTAACCAAAGACGTCACTTCCTTGGTGGACCATGTCAAAGTGGAACTGGTTCATCTCAGCACACCAGTGTCCAACCCGTTGCACATCAGTCGTGGTAACCATTTGTTTCCCTTCCTTCCTTCCTTCTTCGGTAGATTTGTTGTTTCTTGCTGCTTTGGCTTCCTCTGTTTTTATCATCTCCGAACTGGTCAAAGCGTGCGAGAAATGTGGCTCCTGCCGATCACAGACAGACCTTGTGCCGCTGGAAGCCGTGTGACGAAAAGAGCGTGGCTTTCCCACCGCGGGGGCCAGAATGCTCTTGGAATGGAACTGTCTAATTGATCTTTTTTATACCTCTGTGAATATTTCCGAGCAACTCTTGATCAAGAGAAATCACTTTCACTGGCCAGTTTTCTTCCACACCACTGCCCAGTCCATTAAAGTTGTCCAGAAGCGCTGGATTGCTCTCAGTTATAGAAGTCTTGTTTTACAGAGCTCTTTCACAGGGCAGGAGGAGGCCGCGAAGGGACCAATAAGGGGGAAAATCCATGGCACCCTCTTTATTTATTAAGTTGCAATAAAATCTTTTTGCTAATAAAAAGGCTATTGCGGTGAGTAATTAGAGTGTTGCACAAGGACTGGAAAGACACAGGTTCAAATCCCCATTCACCCATGAAGATGTAGCAGATGAGGACCAGAAACACCAGTCCCTGGTGGCCAGTGGCTTTCGTCCACTCCATTTCCAAAATTCAAAGCCATCGTGACTTTTACAAGGGTGAACATAACCTGCATGTTTCTTCTAGTAAAAGCTACAGCTACTTTGCCAATAGAACACACTTGATAACGGTTACCAACCGTTAAGTAGAGGAAAGAGGTCAAAATATGTAACTGAAAAAGCAATCGCAGGAAACAGAAATTACAGGAAGGACCTGGAACGTTTATTTGTTGCAGTCAATTGATTATATGCGATCTGACATGCATTATTATAAAATCATTCCAAGGCTGCTTTAAAAAAAGATTAATACCAATGATCAGCACGCTTCCTCAAAGATTCCAGCATTCAGCTGGTGCTTCAGCAGCATTTCCTTCCTTTTTCAGGCTGAATGCCGCCTGTTACTGGAGGTAATGTGTGTAGTATATACCTGACTAATTAACAGTCCCTGGGATTGTTTATGCAACAATCATTTCACCCTCAATTTTTTAAAAAAGAAACTCATAATTGCATTTTTTTAAAGGAAAGGCAGAAGGACGTGTTCATTCAAAGACAGCTCTCGGTGGACACCATAGATCAAAAAAGCCAAATAGAAGGTAGATAATACCACAGTAAGACCAACACATTTGGCCGGAACACAAAGATACGACTAGCCTAGGCTTTCCCTGGGCCATCTATACCTTCTCTAAACATTAATTTGGCCCAATTCTTTTGAGCTAGGCAGTGCTTTGATTGTCTTGATGGCCACGGAGGAGTCAGTCTGGGCAGTTTTGCTGCTCCACCCGCTTCCTGCTTCAGAGCCAAGGACGACCAGCCATGGACAGCCTTCTCCTCCATGAATGTGCCCAGTCCCCTTTTAAAGCCACCCAAATAGGTGCTGCTCGCCTTTTCGGCATGCAAGACACGGGCTCCCTCATGGTGCAAGGACTACCCCCTCCTCCCCTAACGGGGGATGACGTGCAAATCCTCTCCCAGGCGGCTTCCTCTAGATCCACTCCCCTGCCAATTTGGGGGAGGCTGCTCCCCAGGTATGGATGTGTTTGGGATGCAGCAGGAGAAACAGTCCAGGGTACAAGCTCGGGGCAGAGGGCACGTTTCATCTGTCAGTCTGGCCTGCAGCTCCCGACTTTTCTTACTAAAGATCTCAAGAAAGGAAGGTGAAGAACCAACCACGAGCAGGTTGCCAGTGATGGTACCCACACAGCTAGACCCAGCCGGAGGCAGACACTGTGTCAACTGGACTCCGTGCACTACAACTCCCATTACCGATTGCCACTGGCCAGGCAACTGAGGCTGAAAGACACTGTAGTCCAAAAGATCTGGAAAGCATCGCCTTGGGAACACTGGGTGAAGATGTTCTGTGTCTTGCGTCTCTAAAAGAACTCCAAAGGGTGACTTGGTTGCTCTTCTGCAGCCTGACTGTAGGTATTTCCACCGAGAAGCCCCATGGAATTCAAGGGGAACTACACCTAAGCAAGAATCGGCCTTGAACAGCAAGCATTTGCAGGGGAATCGGCTGCCTCTATTCGGGAGTGTGCATGAGCAGGGGAGGGGGAAAGGACGTCTGGTCTTGAGAGTGCTATTGCCTGTGACTCCTTCGAAGGCTACAGGTCTGAAACAGGGCTTCACCATGTCAGGGATTCAGATCAAAGATGGCCTCCTCTTTGAAGAGAAGAAACAGCTGCCATCCAGCTTTGGTGAAAATGCAGCCCGAGTACGAGAACGAACCGACAGAGATTTTTGCGTGCTGTTCCCCTCTTCAGAGAGGGTTTTCCTTTTGTTCTCTCCCTTCCAGTGATCTGTGAAGTTCCCTGAAAGGCAGGGAACAAAGAGGCACTGTGCCAGAAGCTTCCCTTTTTTCTTTTACACTTATAAAAAGGGAATAGTTTTTTCGTTTGTTCCTTTGCGTCCAAGACAACAACCTCATCTGTCTGATCCAAAGTTCACCAACTCAAGACTGAAAAGGTCTATAGACACAGGATTAGCTGGGATAAACCTGACACTTGGACATCCGGCCTTAAACAGCACACACAGAGCTCTTTCTTCTACTGCCCCTGTGTGGCTTAAAAACTTGCATCCTGCCTTGTACGACAACAAATTCTTTCAAGTGTTGCATGTTTCACAGTACAGAGATGCGCTTTTGAATTGCAGACGGCAACAGGAAAACCAATGAAAATAGTTCAGTCACACTCCATTGGCATAAGCCGTAGGCTAAATCCCAAAGCAAGCCTTCAATGACCACAGAAATGGCTTCTTTGCAGAGTCATTGGGGCTGAGCTTCAGAAACTGCTCCGTTTGGCTGAAACACACAACTCGTCGCTCCAGCGGGAACTACACCCACACACTAACATCTCTTCCAATCCTGCTCAAGTTTTACATCAGTGGACTTAGGACTACAGACTGCGACCATGAAAAAAAACCCGGTCTCAATGTTTTGACCTTCACTGCTCAGTTAACTATTCCAAATATAGATTGCTCAATGATAACCCAGGAGGCCGAGCTTTAGGTTTTCCAAATGCTTAACAAAACTGGCTCTGGCTTGTGTGGAAGACCATGTGCCTTTTGAGCGGTGAATCCCAGCTGCCACCCGTTCCAGGAAGGGTTTTCTAACAGAAATCCCAAATGCTGGCTTCAGCCATTGGCAGGCAGAATGTGCAAAGAAATTGAAAATATAAGAAAGGAGAGAAAGGAGATGGAAAAGAGAGTTATTTATCATGCTGGGTGGTTAAGAAGATAGTCATGTCACCAGGGAGGGGGGTGGGACAAAGCTATGGCACCTGGTGTGGGGCTGTTTGCAATCCCGCTGCAGGAGGTGGCGATCCAACCCCACTTCGCCCTTCCCACCTGAATGGAAAGAACGGCGCCACCTGCCTCCGAGGTTGGACACTCGACTTCGGGGAGCGGAGGGGAGGGGGCATCCCGGGGATGGCGGGGAGGAGAGATAGGAGCTATTCAGAGCCAGCTGCCTGCCTGCCTTCTCTGAAATGCCTTCCTTAAATGGGTGGCAAAGCCCATCCAACCAAAAAAAAGGCGGGCAAGAGGATGGGAGGCAAAGGCTGTCCCTGCCATGTCCTACGGGGATGGCCCTAACCCGCCACATTCGGGGACTGGCAATCACTGAGGACACAAATGGCAGGACAGCACCCAAGCGCACCTCCCGCCCCGTCCACTCCTGACGGCGCATCCGACCTGCCCACCCGCGAAACCTCCCGCACTGCCCCGTGCAATGTGTCTCCCCAGCAGGGAGCCTGCTCTAGAAGGAGCACTCGGTACTCTTGAAGGGCCGCGCAGTTTAGTTTGGACACGTGGGAAGCAGAGAGCTCGGAGGTGGATCCCGAGGAACTCGGCTTGGCGGCAGGCGGAGGCTTCCCGGGCCCCCTCAGTTGTCGCCATCCTCGTCGGCCGGCGCCCGCAGACCGTCGCTCTGGCGGCCCTTTCCGATCAGCTCCAGCAGCGCCTGGGCCTCGGGATCTGCGTCCAAAATGCTCTTTGGCCCCTTCTCCTAAAAGAAAACCCAGAGATGGGTTGGGGGGGGAGATCAAAGGTGAGAGCCAACGATGCCGCAGGTCAGGGGCAACCTGACTCAGAGCCACGTCTAAGCCCTTTCGTTTGCTCTTCGCGTCTGCTGCAAGGAAGCTGCATAGCTTGTCCCCCCCCCCCCCCCGGTCATCACTCTGCAAACAGAACAGGTTTGCAACACCCCCTCCACACACACACACACACACGCCCCTCTTTCTGGTCCAGCCTAACAGGTTAGGTCAGGCTGCATGCCTGTCTGAAATGATTAAAGAAGCCAGCCTACGTCAGAGCGTAATCTTTGATCGCTTAAGCCTTTTCCAAGGAAACCTTGGGGCACCACTGGGGGTGTGGAGGGAGCAACAGTTCATGAGACACCATCCCAGACCCCAAGGAACAGACCAGCTCCCCGTCCCCACCAAGTCTTAGGCCCCAAACATGTGGGAATTTAAAAGGATTTGCCAGATCACTGTAAAAAGTGGTTAATGGGTTACCGATTTGCTGTGCTTGGCAGAGAGCACAGATTTTAAACAGAGCAGAAATAACTCCTCCAGAGCTAAGAACTAGAAAAAAAGGCTATGTCTCAGGGCTCTTTCGCTCATTTCCCTTTCGGCATGAATGACCCCTTTTCCCCACGCCCAGAAGGGAAATTCTGCTACCACGGCACTTGATTAAGTTAGGAAACAGGGATAAGCATCTCTGTGTGCAGCCTGACTTATTTTGTTAAAGTATATTCCACCTTTCCCTCCTTTAAGATGGTCATCAAAGCAGATTCTAAACATGATTTAGACTAGGGTAAAATACAAATATATAACATGACTTGTACAAAGAGAATGAGAATGAGAGAGATGCTAGAAACAGAGCAACTTAACTCCAGGAAAAGCTCCAGCAAACAAAACTGGCTTAATCGAATGCCTCACCCCACGGGGGGGGGGGGGGGGAATGCCATAACTTTTCAGAGCCTCTTTGGTGGTGACCCCCCCAACAGCAGTTCAACGCCCCTGTCTTAAGGATGCTGCATGAGACAAAGGCTGCCTGCTCACTATAACCCACCACCTCAGATTGTGGGGTACCGTCTAGACAGCACAGAAGGGCCTTCACAAGGGCATCCACCCCCCCCCCCCCGGGAAGCCTCTCGGGCCTTGCCGCAGGGCAAACACACAAGCTGGGAACTGTACAGATGTGTGAATTCCACACTTGGGTCAGCGATGCTTCACCGCCTGGCAGGATCCAGGCTGCTTTGGGGCTCCATCTGGCGGCCAGAATCAGAACGCCCGCTCAGTATTCCCAGGCCCAGGCCCTGGCGGAGCACTCGGCCTCCTGCGAAGTCCTAGTCGGGAGTTCTCGGGGAAGGCCTCTGCCAGCGCGCCTCTCCAGAACTGGGCTCAGCAACACGGGTCGAGTCTTCCTATCTGCTGTACTGCCTGCATCTTCCCTGACCAAGATCCTACCTTGCTGTCTCACCTCAGCAGCTCAGGTCCTCCTGTCAGCTGCTGCCTGCTCAAGATGCTACCTCTCGCCTGATCTTTGCAGGGACCGGCTGCTGCATGCAAGCCTTGCTCTCTTGTCCTCTCTTCCCGGCCCGATACATCCTTTCGGTTCCTGATCGTGGCCTGTTCTGTGCTTGGCCTTGACCCGGGATTTCACCACTGGACTTCGGACTCTCTCTCGCCTTGGGTTGTCACCCTGATCCCAGCTCCTGCCACCACCTCCCAGCTCTGGACAGCGCCAGCCACGGCAGGCTCGCGGCGACCAAGGGCCGACCCTGCTAGCAAGACAAAGCGGGCAGCCACTTACAGCGGCCCCTTCCGGGGGGTCCCCCACCGCCCACACCTCCATGGCATCCAGCGTGAAGTTCTCCTTGGCCGAGAGCTGAGGGCTGTTGTACGTGGTGCAGCGAGGCTTGGCTCTGCTGTGGCCCTTCCCGTAGTTGCTGTCTACCCAGAGTCCGAAGTAGCCGTGCTGTCCGCCCATGCCCTGGGGAGGAAAAGAAACGTCCATGCAATGAACCACGCTGAGGGCAGATGGCCGTGGCCAGGGCTGATGCTAAGACAGCTGGAGGGAGCAGGCCGCTGGTGCGAAACCCGTGAACAGCTTGGTGGCTCGTGCCAAGAGTCCCGCCATATCTGAATGAGGCTCCGTCTGGTCAGAGGGTGGCAAGCCGCATTGGGTCCAGGGGCCAAACTCCATTTCGGACAAGCTCTTGGAGGGATGAAGACGGAAATGGCATGGTCGGGAATAACAAGCTTCACCAAAAGAGGAGCACCTGGGCTTCCCAGGTGGCCACGCCTCCTTCCATAACTCCACCCCTTTTCTCCCGAACGATCTGCTGGTCTCCTGCTTTCATGCAGGGTGCTTTCCAGCTGAAAACATCAAGGTAACTTCTACGGGATGGTTACCGCCAAGAAGAGGCTTAAGCTAAAATGTACTGATATTTGCTGCTGTGACTGCGACTGGGACACGGTGTTTATGGCCCGTGCCCCTCGCTGTTGCTTTTGGCCAGCCCAGAACTGAATGTGGCCCTTGGCTTGAGATCCAGAGCATCTCGTTTGCTCCCACTGGCTCACCCCTACTCCCATTCCAATTTTCGATCCACAGGGTGAGCCATTCCAAATTGTCTCCCCCTACTTGCAGCCCGGAAGTGGTACAGCCCTCACAGAGCCATGTCATGTGTGCCTGAATCCGACAGAGGGCCAAGGGCAATGCCGAGCTGTGGGCACCCTCCTTTCCCACCAATCCGCCGAGCAATCGCCACCCAGCCTCCTCAGAGCAGCTCCTATGCCGCGAAATGAGCTGCCCAAGGCCTGCCTGTGGAAGTGGCACATGGGAACGCTGCCCAAGCTGCAGGCTGGCAACCGTCGGGCACTTACGAGTCCGTTCGGCATGGTCTGTTGCCCGTGATTCAAGTACATGTAGTGGTCGTTGTAGCCGGTGTAACTGAAGACGGCAAGCGTGGGCGCCACGGAAAACAAGAAGCAGCTGCTGTTGCCTGTAAGCAGAGAGACGAGGCACCGTGGGCCGACGAGCAGGCAATTCGCCCGAGGCGATTCCTGCGCAGCCTGGTGGAAATGCTCACGCCTGAGAAGGATGCTCTGCCGCACCACGTCACGTGACAAAGCAACCGCAGGGGGTGGGACTTGATGGCCTTCGTGGCCCCTTCCAGCTCCACTATTCTATGATTCTATGAATGGGTTTTGTTTCTGCCTTCCGCTGGCCGGTTAATCCGGTGCGGTTGCGAAGGGGCTGTGAAGAGCACGACCCCAGACTCAGGTAACGACTAATTTCTGATTGCTTCCGATGTAGAACTCAAGTTTATCCCTCCCTCCTGGGGAAGAGCAAATGCCAGTGTGAAATAAATCCCACACATGTTTAGACAGGGAAAAGGTCCAAAAATCCTCAACATGACCCAGCCATGGGGCACACTGTGTATAGTAGGAATTTTCTCCCTCGACGTGGATTGCACCCTTAATTCATTCATCAATTGAACAGTATTAGAGTTTGGATTAACTAAAATGGCACCTTGATTCATGAAAGAGCAGCTTTTTAAAAACGTGCATGTGGCTGGATCTTAGCTTCCCTTCTGGGAATGAAAGGAGGTGGTCATGGTACTCTCTGACTCACCCTTTGTTTCCAAAACCTGCCCACATATTTCAATCAGGCCCTGCACTTCTGGATTTGCACTCCTTAAGAGTTTAGCTCGCTTTAGTCGTGGCAAAGCCGAAGGGAAAGCTTGCCATCTAGTGGACATTTGTGCCAGTGATCTCGATGATGTGTATTTATTCGGCATCAAGCCAAGTTTATCTGCATTCACATGGGACACACTGAACGCAACGATACTGCAACTGGGAAGACTGGGACACCAGGCTAGGCTGGTTTTGCTGAGAGTGGGATGAAAATCCAAGAGATATTCACGATTCAGACACCGAGATTTTGGCTTGCGAGCCCTGCGCTGGCCCCGACTCTCTGCTGCGTGAATAAAGCCAGTTTGCATACTTCTGCTCTAAGACGGGTTTGTGAGTTGCATACTTAAAAAAAAGAGTTGTCCAAATCTCTTTAGAACTATGCAGTTTCTGGCTCCTGATTTGCCCAAACTGCACCATTTGCGCAAATATACTTAGCTACTTTTTAAAATGTGCAAATTGCAGGCTGTCTGAAGCACTGGAATCCATGGGGGAAACCCCCAACCCATCCCACTTCCGATCACTGGATCGGAAGTGAGCAGGAAGCCTGTAGAACCGAAATGACCCGGACTTCCTCGGTGCAGCTGAGATGGACCACCACAATCCCATAGAAGCTCAGACTTTAACTAAGAGCAGTTTCTAGCCCTGATGGCAGTAGATGTGGGCCTGAAAGTGTGTCGGAAACACCCGCTGAAACCTCAGAAGACAGAGAGATGCAGAACTCTGCTTTTCTTGGCGCAGGGCTTGGATTGCTAGCACGAAAAACATGTACACACAAGACTGAGAGCACACCAAGCCCTGTGCGCCCTTGTGCAACGAGCCGCGCAGTCGGTACCTGCCAAAAATCGAAGGACCCGGGAGGCTGCGCTGAAAGGAACCTAAACAAGGCCAGGGAGACAGCACTCCTTTACCTTGAAACTGTGGCTTAACCTCCCAGGAGGAGGAGGAAAACCCGCCAAAGATGTGGCCGTCGGTGTCCTTCAAAACCAGTACGCAGGGGCCCTTGTTCACAATGTGCCCGCACAGCTGGGTGAAGCTCTCCCCGTGAACGCTGGAGGCAAAGAGCAGCCTCCACTTCTGCTGCAGCTCGGAAGGCAGGTGGGAGTTGATGTAAGCGACGGCGGGGAGGTTGAGGAGGCTGACGAAACTGTGTCCCTTGAGCCCGCTGCATTTTGGAAGCAAGGGGGGCAAGTCTTCGGGCTGATCGGCGGGAGAGCGCAGAGCAAGCAGCCCCCGCTGGACGACGGCGCTGAGGTACACAGAGACCTGAGGGACCCGGAAGAGCCAGTCCTCAATGCTGCTCTCATCGCATGTGGCGTCCGGGGCGGAAGCATCCCCGGGGCTCTTCCCATCTGAAACATGCAATACATATTTGCTAAGGGCCTGTTGAGGGTGTTGCTCTTTTCCAGAAGGGCTGCTGAAAAATGCAACCGCAGGGCTGGACAGCTTGATGGGCAGGTGAGACTTCTCTCCCCACCCCCATGTCAAATTCTCTCTCAGAGAAGCTCCTGGGGGTCACATTTCAGGGCTGGGAGGAAAGAAAAGCCTAAGGGATGAGGAGAACCATCAACATATACTGGTACATGGAAACTTCAAGCTCTTGCTGCCCATAAATAGAGTTACTCAACAACTGGCAATAAGGAGAAAGGGGACAAGGTAGGGAAGGGTGGTGGGACCCTCTGGGGAACCCCAAGAGCCAAATTAGACAAATGAATAGAGGAAGAGGAGGAGGTCTGTTTGCCACTCCTGGTCCCAAATCCTGGATGGAGCCTGTCCGTGTTCAGGAAGCGAACCCAGAGTTGGGGGGGAGATGCTTTTGCTTTGCCCTCCTGCATGGGAGCTCCTCTGGAGGCTTTTGAGGGCCACTGTGGGAAGCCGGACGTCCAACTAGATGGACCACTGGGGTGAGCCAACAGGGCTCCAGATGTTTTGGTCTGCCACTCCCATCAGCCCTGGTGGGCCAAGCCAAGAGCAAGAAAGGATCACAGCACCTGCTGTCCACCCCAGAGCAAAGCAAGCTCTCTGCAGTACCCCATGTCATGCTTCAAGGATGAACTGAGGATGGATGGAGATGACCAAGCGGAAGAATAACTCAGGTAAAGCTGAAGTATTATGAAGTATCAGGAAATCTGCCAACCGAGGTGGAGAAGTTCGATTGGTTGGAGGCAGGCTACACTCACACCTCCTGGGTAGTCCTTGCTGCCTGTGAGGGTGGAGTGTGCCTGTGTGTGTTGGAGGAGGAGGCTGTGCCAGATATGCGACCTCTCCTTTTAACTCTTTCGTTGTCGCATTCTCCTGTTTTTCCTTTAAGCGGGGAAAGCCACGAATGTAGCGAAAACGTGCTTTCTGCAACTCACGTGCTGATTTCAGTTCAGACACCAGCTGCACGGCCAACGCTTTCACACCGGCAGTGGAATCATGCATATTCTTTGGATACCAGCCCTTCAGATCATTCCTGTAGTTCAGAACGTGAGCCAAGGAGCCAACCAGATCTTCTGCAAACTTCAAACAAGAGATTTTCTTTTTGCCTCATGTGGAACGCTTAAATACCAGATGTAGAAAAGAAGCAGACATTCTAACACAGAAATGTGGGCATTCACAGAGCTGTATGGCCCCTATAAAACCTCTTTCATCTACACTTCAGGGATTTGCGGGCATCTTTAAGTGCTGGCATCCTCTCACTTGATTTTGCACAAATGCATTTGTGCATAATTGCGCAAATTCTCCCTTCTGAAAATGCACAAATTCCCCTATTTTCCAGCTGTAGCCAATGGGGGAAATGCATGGTTTTGGTCAGCTTTTTATTGACATAAAACTGTGGAAAATTTAAGAAATGGTCCAAAAAACCACAGAATCCATGCAACTTGGGAAAACCTCTGTGGTAAGGAATTCACAGGTCTGAATCTTGGGAAACAGAACTTCTTTTCACCTGTTCAAGGATTTCTCCGGGATCCCCTGCATGTGAAAATGGATCGAAACACTGACTAGTGCCTAAAAGGAAGAGGCCGGGTCTTAAGGTGCTAAAAAGGTATGTTTGTTGCATCCTGGGCTCAGAATGGGGGCCATGTCTCGAAGTGGCTGCAGAGGTTTCTGGTACGTGCATACAATCGGTGTGGGTTTGACGTGCCTGGAAGTATCACATCACCAGGAGGAGCTAAAATCGGGAGCCTAGAAACGCAAACGCCCCTGCCCTTCGGGTTGCACTTCAGGATAAAGAAGCCTCTTCAAAGCCGTTTCCCTCCAGATGCTTTGCATTACAAGGTTGCGGGGACAGGCAGCATTTTGACCACGGGGTAAAAATGAAGTGAGTTGCACTCCAAAATCTCCGGAGCAGAGGAGCTGAACCTCCTTCTGTTAGTTAGCACCCCAAGTTCGACTTTGGGGGCTCATTCCAGTGGTGGGCAGGGCATCGCGCTTTCCTGCCCCCAGTGAGCCATGCGATGGCTGCAGGACTCCTAAAGTTCTCCCTGGTGCAGAGCTGACTCCACTTTTGTTCTTATTCATGGGAAGACAACCCGCCTTTCTTTACAGCTTTTGCACTACAATTCCTACCGGGTCACAGTGAGCAAAGACTAAATGCTAGGTACTGTCGGGGTTTTAGTCCAAAATCTCTCTAGCCTGTCCTCACCTGCCTTCTCCAGCCTCTGATTCCACCTCCCCTCTCCATCTTCCTTACACAAAAATGAGGCATCTTTTTAATTACCTCTAGGATCTGACTTTCCTTCACAGGCCCCCCGGCATTTGAGATCATTCTCAGGATAATACCACTTTTTTCTTCCGCGTTGCCTTTGAAAATCGCTGACAGAAAAACCACAAACTGCTCCTTTGCCACCTGGGCGCCGGGATCTGGCAATTTCTCAGTCAGCTGAATGCTTTTCATCCCATCGTACAGCCTCACGACCATCGATTCAGGCAAAGCATCTTTGACGTAGGCCTGTCCGAAAGGAACGAAATGCAGCAGCCAAGTTCAGGCACTGGGGAGGAATAGCTGGCCAACACAAGGCGCTCGCCCCAGAGAAGGAAGACCAGCTCTTCTCTGGCAGTTGTTTATTCCTACTCAAAGACAAAGCTCGGGGCTGAAGGGGAATCGGGACGGGGCCAAAAGAAAGTGGGTCATGAAAATATTCACCCTCCATTCCCATCACTGCTCTTGCTGCCCTGGATCAGAGGACCGAGCCTACGGTTTGCATGGGAAGAAACATGCCACGGACGCAAAGACTCTTTTCCCCCTCTGTAAGCTGCATGCACGGAGGCCTAACCCTGGCTGGGGCCCCGTGGTGGGCAGGCAGAGAGGTAAAGAACCGCCACATGTCCCGCTCCAGATGAGCAGCCTCATGCTGACTTCTGAGTAAAGACGGGAGTGAGGAAGGATGCAGCTGCAAAGATCCCCCTTGAACGTGGCGTGGTCTCGCGACCCTTGGCAGCCGATGCTGGGCAAACAGCCCCCGTTTAAGCTTCAGCTGCCCCACCCCCCTGCGATATGGGGCGGGGGGGCTCATGCTGGTCTGCCCGCATTGGCGGTGGGTTTCTTATCCATCCTTGTCACCTAACGAGATTGCCTCGCTTGCCTTCAGCTTCAGCAGAGACACCCCCTTCTTGGCCGACTTGGCCACGGAAGCCTCTTCCGATCCCGACAAGGTGCTAAAGATGGCGTCGATGTCAGCACGCTCTTCGGGAAGAAGCCTCGAGAGGTGCTTCTGGTAGGAGCTACTGCTCTGCACATTGCCCATCTTTTCCAGCAGATGGTGGAGGCCTATGAGGCAGAGGAGAGGAAAGGAGGAGACTGGCATGCAGAAGCAGGTCACAGACTGCATCCAGGGCGGACGCAGACACCCACGCTCTGCGGAGCCAGGCACTGAGTGGGAGGCAGAAGCAGAGGGACAGGCTTTTTAAAAAACATGGCTTCTTTCGGGTGCCCTCTGGTTCCACCCTTGCTGTCGATGCAGGGAAGAGCAGAAGCCGCTGGACATGGAAAAACCAATAGCACTGAATGATTTTGCCTGTGCAGGATTAATAAGGCTCATCTCACAAGCTGGAATCTACTGGAAAGGGTCAAATGACCCAGAAGGCTCAGGGAAACAGGAGGGCAGGAGAATCCATGTCTCCTGAGCCTTTGGGGACTTGGAGGGAGCCCAGAATATAGGAAGGAACATACAATAGTAGAGGTGGGAAGGGCCAGAGTGCCATCAGGTCCTGCCCCTTGCCCGGAGCAGGGCCCCTTGTTAAAGCAGGACGGCTGTCCAGTGGATCTTGCGTGCTGCTAGTGTGGGAGAGCCCCTTGAGATCTGCGGGAGAGTCCCTTCTCCGGGAACCCTCCATGAAAGAAATTAGGAGAGTAAGTACTCGGAGGAGGGCTTTC